TGATTATTATTGTATTTGCTTTTCCCCATAAGGAATTTTAACACCATTAGGTTAAAGGAATTAATAATAGCTAAATTCAAAGGTTCTGCACCCATACAGAAACTTATACATATTCACAGATTTGAAGCTTTGATTATTTATACCTTAAATATTGCATACGGAATCACACCTTGATCCACACCTTTTGTGGAGGAATCAAGTTTCAGACAGACTGTAGGTTATAGCAGGAATGGCAAGCTAAATGGCCTTAAAGTTAAATATACTTCATAGACTGAAGTTGTAACCCATATTAGTCAGCCTGGATCACTTTTTATCACCAGTTGCTTTATACAGTTTATTTTTATCCAGAGCTTTGTTATTATTTCATTACATTATAGTGCTTTCACCTACGTAGCTGGCAGTGTGTACTTTTTATTTAAGATTATACAAAGTATGCAATCATAGCAACAGTAACTATGCTGTCAAGTTTCTTTTGTCATATTTAATAGATTGGTCACACAGGTACCAACAAAAAAAGATCGGCCCAGAGGAACTTGACAAACCAATACCAGAAGGCACTCAAATATTGGCTTCTCAGAAGTACTTTTTATTCCCTAATTTTCCTATAAATCTGTAAAAATTCTACTGAAATATCTTTCCATATTGCAAAGTTTTATTTTGATATTAAACTTCATTTGTTGCTAAGGGAGAACAAAGAAGGTAAAGGACTTCTAACTGGACTACAAAACTAAAGGTGAGGCAGACGATTTCTTTCTCATTCTTTAAAGATCAGTRAACTACAATGTTTGCTGATTCACAGTTCTGTAAGAAGGATTTTGGGAAATCATCTGATCCCACTTTCCTGTTGCTTATTTTACTTCAAACATCAAACACTAGCTYGGGTCACATTTTGAGGATCAATATGATCATGCATTCCACCAGCCTGTTTACAAATCCATATGCAATTGAAGTCCTAAGAACTAAAAAGGAAGAGCTAGTAGAAGGCATAAATAATCCAGACAATCTTCTGAACTGGCTGATAGACAACGGCATTTTTACACCAGAAAAAAAGATAGTCATGACTTTCTACAGGACACGAAAAGAAAAGAACTCTCGAGTTTTAGATACACTGATTTCTCACGGTGAAAGAGCCTGCAGGCTCTTTTTCTATCCATGTTTAAACCAAGTGGAGCCAAAGCTTTATAACAAAATGAGAAAATATGTCAGTGAAATAAACGAAAGTATCAGAGATGCTAGAAGACAACTGGTAGGGTATTTACTTGAAAAAGATAAGACTTGGCTTGAAAACAGCAGTGAACAGCAGCAAGAAAAAAAAGTGTGTCATAAAAGAAAAAGACAAGAYTGGTCTATTAAGAAGAGAGGTAAAGAAACTGAACTTTTAACAGCAGCAAAACCTAGAAAAGAACATTCTGATATCAGCCTCTTTGATGCAGCTGCTAAAGGCTGTCTTTCTGAGTTAGAGAAAGCATTGGATGATAACGAGATTATTGCACTAAACTCTGCAAATGAAACACTCCTGCACGTGGCAGCTGCTAATGGATGTCTAACAATAATGGAATATTTGATTAGAAAAGGTATTAAGGGAGATGTAAAGGATAAGAAAGGAAGAACACCACTGCATAGGGCTGCTGAGAAAGGCCACGGTGATGCAGTTAAAGTACTTCTCCRGTGCGGTGCCAACATATACAATTTGGACAAAGAAAGCAAGACACCACTGCATTTGGCTGCACAGAATAATCACAGCCACATATTGAAAATACTCCTGAGAAAAGAGGCAAGAAGCTACAGGAATCAGCACAACTTCTTGCACATGGCAGCTCTTAAAGATGAAAGCAGCCTGGCAAAAATGCTTTTAAAGAATGGCGTCCCTGTTGATGGAAAGGATGAAAAAGGACAGACAGCTCTCAGTTGTGCTATTTCTCGGGGGGTTGAAAATACTGATAAAGTACTGCTAGAAGCTGGAGCTAGTGTGGATTCCAAAATGGCTGAAAGAGCCCTCAAAGGCAACCACCCATCCATCTTCAAAGTGCTGCTAGAGTATTGTAAAGATTTGTCATCTAACACAATGGAGTCAGCTCTCTTTAAAGCTGTACAGAAAAATCTGCATAGTATTGTGGCAGCTTTGGTTGACAGAGGCACAGCTATAAATGCCTACAATGAAATGCAGTATACTCCTTTACTCCTAGCATGTGAAACAGGCAAAATCGAATCTGCAGAAGTTCTGATTGAAAAGGGGGCTAACCTCAGAATAAGGACTCCTGATTCAGACACCACATTGCACTTGGCAGTTCAAGCCGGGGCCACTTCTATCACAAACTTGCTTCTACGCAAAGGGATGGAAGCAAACATTACAAACCAGGCAGGAGAAACCCCGCTCCATATTGCTGCCCTTCATAATAAAGGGGCATTCATTTGCATTTTAGTTAATGGTGGAGCRAAAATCAATGCTGTCACTAAAGAGTTACTTACTCCCTTGCATATTGCAAGTGGAGCAGGTAATACTGATGTTGCTCAACAGCTGTTGAACTACCAAGCCAATGTTAATGTTAAGGATAAGCAGTCTAAATCACCTTTACACCTTGCTTCTGAAAGGGGAGATATCACAATGGTGRAGCTGCTTCTGAACGCTAATGCTGACCCCAACGCAAGAGATAGAGAGAAAAGGACTCCTCTGCACATTGCAGCTATGAGGGGACATCTCAGTATCGTTAAAGCTCTGCTAGCCAAAAAAGGCAGATCTGGAGTTAAGGACATGGATGGATGTACTCCAATGCACTATGCAACCATCAAAGGAAATGCAGAGATTGTAAAAATTCTTCTGACATCGGGGAAAATAAGAATATTGACGACAGAAATATTTGGAGAAAGACTGCATTACATATTGCAGCAGAATATGGACATGGTGATTTGATAAACCTATTACTGAGCCAAGGGGCAGCCATTAATGCCTTAGACAGCAGCAAGGACACTCCACTGCACTGTGCCTGCAAAGCTGGTCATTTGAGTGCTGTAAGTTCCCTTGTAAACTGGTCACAAGGAGAGAAGGCAAATTTACAAGCTGCTAACAGTCTCAAAAAGACCCCACTGCAAGTAGCAGAGATTAACAGAACAGAAAATCAGGCTCACATTGTAACACTTTTGAAAAAGTTAATTACTAAATGAATACATAAAGCAAAGAATCCCAGATGCATTTATATGCAAAATCACTTTTAAAAATTATTACTTAATGTAATTTGGATAACGGTGCTGTCTAGTATCAATTCATGGCCAGAATTAAGTWAGTAATCAAAAGGGGCCAAGGAGAAAAGAACCTTAAAAATGCTGTTATTCTAAGTATTGATTCCCTCTTGCATCTCTCACATATCTCGTACTTGGAATCCCTTTGAAGCACCAGTTTTAAACTGTAGGTGACCTATTCCAGTATAAYCTAGATTTCTAATAAAAAGTGATAGAAGTTAATTTTTCATATTTCTGTGAACAGTAGCTTGTATGGATAGTTTAAACACTGTTAAAATCACATTTGTACAAAGCCAACTATTACAAATAAGCATCTAACTGTAMCTAAGAGGACAGAAAGCCCAAAAAGGTTGTTGACACCACTGCAGTTAGTTTCAGACTTAATTGTGGGGTGCTCCCTGAGGGGGTGAATCATGCCCTCCCTCACAATCTCATCACACACGCAGCTCTCCCCTTGCTTTGGCAGCCCTGCTCCAGGTTGGGTGGGTGACATGACTCGCTCCTCCCACAGCTACAAGTGAACAAAGTGCAGCAGGATGGTAGTTAGCAGTCGAGTAGCACTGTCTCTTCGGTTGTYAACAATTAGCTTGGCTTATGCTGATTACAGTATTGCTTTCTGGGCCCGCTRGGGATCAAAAACCATCCACATACACATCCACTAGACCCTCACCCCAGTAAATCCTGCTGTGAGGTTCAATATAAACCAACCAAGAGAGCAACCTGAGTYCACAGTGATGCTAACTCAGTTATGTTTCCTGTGAGTGCTGAAGTCATCTGCTACATGGACATTCAAATTTGGGTTGACTCTTCTTTACATAGCTCTGTTATACACTGTCACATGGCATTTACATGTCCTAGGTCTAAAAAAATCATTCTATCCTTCACTGTACCATTTAGTTACTTTTGCATTTTTTCATGAGGATAATGAAAAACAAAAACTGTTGTATTTACTGTTCACTTTCTAATTAATACCAGGACATAGATGAAATGTTGAGAATGGAAAGGTTGAAACAAAAAAAAAAAAGGTTTATTGGTTGAAAACCAAGTATTTGCATTGTGATCTTTTAAAACAGAACCTCTCGAGGAAAGTCACCGAGTGGTCCTATATTCTTTATAATAATAACCAACCCTCACAGCTTTTTGCTTTTCACCCTTCATCACCACTAGACACAAATTACCATGACRGGCAAAACGATACTCGGGAAATCAAGCATCGGTTGCAAAGAGCATGGGAAGAAAACTAATTTCACAGCCACGTTATGACGCTTTAAAGTCAGCCTGTCGAGGCCTCACCACGGGCACCCTCCCCATGAAAGAGCATGGGCTGTGAGCTCGGAAGCAGACACCGAGAGTGACAAAACAGAAATAAAATCTCCGGAGTCAGCGGGTAACAAACGCTTCCAAAACGGCCGCTTTTATTCGAGGCCGCTCCCACACCGCCAACGGCCGCCAACGGTCACCAACGGTCGCCAATGGCGCGAGCGGGCTCGCTGAGGGSAGGGCGGCGGAGGCGGGAGGAGCGCGAGGCGCCGGCGTCCCGCGGGCCGCCCCTTCCCTCCCCTCGCGCGCCGGCTCCCCCGTGGCCGCGGCCCCACGTCCCGTGGCCCGCCCGCCGCCCGCGCCTCGCCCCGAGCTGCCCCCTCGCGGCTCGCGCGCGCCCCGCCTACCCCGGCGCCATCTCTCCGCCTCCGCGTCTCCTCGGGGCGCGCACGCGCCGCGCATGCCCCGTGGCGCCGCCGCTTCTCGCGAGGCTCGGCGGCGTCATGGCGGCCGCGGAGGAGCCCGAGGTGGACGTCGAGGGCGACCCGGCGGCCGCGCCCGGCGAGGCGGCGACCGGGTGAGTGGGCGAGGGCAGCCCCTGTCCCTCCCCTCGCGGCTCCTCCGCGGGCAGCCCGAGCCTGCCGTGAGGGGGCGGCGGGGGGGAGCGCGGCCTGCGCCCCGCACCCGCGCGACGGGCAGGGGAGGAAGAGGAAGGCGGGGAGGAAGAGGGGGGGAAACAGGAGCGAGCTTTGCGGAACCGCCAAGGAGAGGGGACTGCACGATAAGGCTTTTAAAACAAAAGCAGGTTAGTATTAGCGGTGGTAGCAGGTGCCCCCAGGCGGCTTCAGCGGTAACGGATCCCGGAGAGCAGCCGTGGAAGCGGCGCGTGGCAAAACGCTAACGCTGTCAACGGCGTGAGCCTGGGCGCGGGGAGGGGTGCGGGGAGAGCGTGGGACCCGCAGTGCTGCTCAGGCGGCGCCGACTGTTGCTGCTGCGGAATAAACACGGAGCCGGGTGCGCTGCTCATCGCACTGCTGGTGCCTCTGGAGAAGCAGGGATTCAGGGAGGGTGTTTTGTTTTGTTTTACTGTGGGTTTTGTTTTCATGCTGACCTGTGAAGACACATTTGCACTTCTCAGACCAAGTAGTTCAGAATAGAAGTTAAATTGTTTCTGGTAGCATTGCAGGGGATGTCAGGCTCACTGCCCTTCCAAAAGGCTGAATGATCCAGCAGCAGTAACAGGTAGTTACGTGAAGCGCTAAGGAGTTTTATGCTGCRTTAGGAGAGAGGAAAACCAATCAATGGCATCCATCAGTGAAGGAGTTTTAAAAGTAATATGTGGTTATTTACTGAAAAGATACCAATCCGGATGAAGTCAGTGAGAATACGAATAATCTCAGGTGATGGGGTTCYCTTGATCAGAACCTGTGATACTTACCTGTGTAAGTAACAGCCTTCCTCTGGAGACAGCAGTTCTTTCTCTTTATGGAGCTCCTATGATCTTATAGAGGTGAAAATGCAGAAATGTTAAGCAAAGGTAGCACAAGTCACGGGCATTTTTAAGATTAAAGTGATGCATCTGCTTGTCCATGAAATTCTTCCTGTAAAACACACACAAATGAAAGATGGGTCTTTACAGTGAGGTGCTTTCCTCCACTCTCGCCTCTTGTTTTCATTCTTCCGGAGTTTCTACTATTCAGGGTTTTACTGCTATCTCATACAGTCTGCCGTGAGATAAGCGAGGTGTTGCCACCCAGAGTCCTAATACAGATCACTTACTAGTGATATCTTATGCTCTGTCTCGTAGAATATTATGAAAGAATAAACTATCGTAATAGTTTGCAATATACTACTTTAATTTTAGAGTCTGTCATTGCTTCTGTTAATAGTAACGTTATTTAGCTCCATGATTTAATTTTATTCCTGACAAAACCTACAGTTTCTTCTAATATGTTTGTAATATTTTGAACATTGATTTTTTTTTTTCCTTTTAAAGAGATTATGAAAATTCAGCATCARGCTTGCTGCAGGATCACTACCTTGATTCGTCTTGGAGAAACGATAACAATATCGTAAGTGATTTTTAAATGAATGTTTCTTGTAGCGAGGTGCTTATAGTCTTCAGTCTGTCCATGTTCATATTCTTTCAGATTATTAATTGTGCCTTTCTGCAGACTGTTTTAGACTTGTAGAACCTCTTATATGTAAAATCATGGCAGAACTTCATTACCGAAAAAAAATATTTGTACCATTTGCAGCCATGGACATTGGACAGCAGCATTAGCGAAGAAAACAGGGCTGTTATCGAGAAGATGTTGCTGGAGGAAGAGTATCCTTTGTTTTTTGCTTGTGTGTTTGTCAGTACTGCAGCTTCTTGCGATCCTGATAAGTCTTTAGCTTCTTTGCAGTGTATTGACAATGGCCAGGTATAATCACAGGTACATAGCTTAGGCCTGGAAAACCAAATCATTTTTAGGGAATCGTTGGAGAGATAGAGAAAGAAACATTGAGAGGTAAAGGAATTCTGAAGGGAAGGGACAGGTTAAATTACTGAATTTTGATGTCTGTTGTAGGTAGCGTGAATGCTGCTTTCTACTTTTTGTCCATTTTTATTGCCTGGTCAGGCAGAAGTTGTCAGGTTTTCCTAAGGGTGTTTAAAGTGTGTGTCTATATTCAAAAATTTTATTTTTATTATTTTATAGTGAGAATTTCTTTTTTTCTGTTTTGTGTGATACTATTGCAACTGCATTTACAAATATTACTGTTTTGGTTACTACAACTGCTGTTAGGAATACAGATCGAGCTCTTGATCATTTTTTATCTCTTGTCTTTTTTTCTTGATTTTTAATGTTATTTCTCTTGAGAGAATACTATCTCACAGTATCTGTCTCCTGACAGAGATGATTCTAAACTGTTGTAAAATTCATAGATGATTTTTAAGACTATTTCTGGGAAACGGAAAAGGCAAAGCTTGACATATTTTTGGTGCCAGTCCCAGCTAAAACAACCATGTTCATCCCCACTCTGGCTACTGCTTCTGTGCCACCTCCAGCACTGTGCTGACGCAGCCGGTTACGTAGCTCCCTAGCAAACGTGATCAAAGAGCCCATCTGGCTAAAAATAACTGCTTCTTTTTGCTGCAGTGTGCTTCAGCTGGACTAATTTGCAGCCTGATTCACCCTGGCTATATATGTATTTCTACCAGCACACAGGATAAGATGAGCAGAAAGGAAGAGGAAAGGAAGGAACTTTTTTTTTCAGTAGTGTTGATTTAAATACTCTAAATACTCTTAAATACTTACTGTTAGCAACGTTGCTGATGCTAACTAACCTCAGTAGACTAGTTAGGTGATGGTATTACTAATCATGGACTAATTTATTTTTCTGTTCTTTTTGCAATTGAGAGTAGTAATGCTTGCAGAAACAAGAAAATGAATCATTGGTAGTTTTCCTAGTAGAAAAAATTACTAAGGGTTAAGTTGAAAAACAAGTAATGCAGCAATGTGATGAAAAAATATTTTAGTATAGTTTCTTAAGTTTAAAAAAGGAAAAAGTTGTTGTGGATAGACAGAAACTAGTTTAGCATGTTATTTTTGAAGTCAAATATAATTTCCTTTGTGTTAAACTATTAGCAGTGTGTGAAATATCTCAATTTATGTGATTATTAGAATTCTTATCTGTATGAGTATTTTGATGCTTCAAGATCTTAATTAAAAATTCAGATATTATCTATCTAATAAAGCAATTTCTGAAAAAATATGGCCCAATCAAAAGGAAGCGGAAAAAAGATCTGTGAGAAGGTAAGACCTATTCAATAAGAAATGAACCATGATATTAAAGGAAAGGAAAAGTTCTTCCAAAATTAAGCTTGGGTGCTTTGATATGCAACAATATCACACTTATTAATTTTTGTTTTCATGTTTGTTTTATATTTGCAGTCCACATAAGAAAACTGGGAAAGTCATGTACGTACACTTTAATAATTGAGTTACGTTCTTAAGTACAATTTCTGATTTATGTTAACTTGCAGGATATTTAGGAAAAGGTAGGTTATAGTTCTCTATTTTGTTTGTATAAAACAATGTAGCTTTCAACATGAAAAACATTGTCTTGTTTGATGAGTAGCCTATAGTAAACTGTTATTTTACCTCAGTTGTCCACGTCAAAAAAAAAAAAAAAGTTAATTATTTCTTTCATCTCTGAACATTTATGTTTCCTTGTTCCTTGCTTGAATTTCTGTAGGATTAGTTACTAATAAATGTTGCRTTGCCTCAAATCTGCCTTTGCGATGGGAGACTGGTATGATTCTAGATATCTTATTTATCAGCCCTATTCATTTTCAAGACAGTATCTCAAGTTTTACAGAAGGGGGGTAGTAGTCATCATCCTAGACCTCACCTTTGGTTTCTGTGCTCTGAGAATACATTGTGTTTAAGAAACCACTAACTTCTGTTTTGTTTTGTCTTTTTCACAGGGTGCGTTCACCTACAAAGCCAGCTAACTCCTCTTTGAAGTGGACATCACAAGAAAAAGAACTGTTTGAGCAAGGACTGGTAAGTTTATTTAGGCCTATAACATTCTGAATTTAAGTCATTAGCTCATTGTAAATAAAAATATTTTTATATGTACRTGGCTGCTGCATGTAATGCATTAGAAATATGTGCCATCTATGAAGATAGTAACAAAAGATCAGAGTTGTGCAGGTGAATCCCCTAAAGTGACTTTATTTGTGCACTAGATCCTGCCTGTGGGACTCATTACAACTTGAGATCACAAAATATATCAGACTTCCAGTGTTATGAATTGTTATGGTACAATCATTATGCTGTGGTTAAAAATGTTAACTGTAGAGTCTGCTTAAAGCAAGCTATTAAAGTGAAATCCTGTACTGTCCTAAGTTCTTTGRAGATGTTTTGTTTGGCGCTGTCTGGCCATATATTAAAAGGACTTCAGACTTTTCTGGACCTGCAGAGTTTCTGCTGCCCAGTCCTGCACACAGTTCATTTCACTRGGATTCCTTGAAGCAGCGAGCAGCCCAGTTCACCACATGTCTGAACCAAGTAAAGAAGAGTCTCTATTTAAGAGACAATTTTTACTGTCTGATGTCATTTCTTGGTAGGATGTGACTAGGAAGGTTCTTTACCAAGGGTTTGACAGTATTTCTGTTTGTTGGTAATGGGTATGCAAAGACTTTTCTCAAATAAGAAGCAATGCCTAGAATGTCAGATGTTAGATAATTTAAATGTGTTCTGTTGGACTAGGTGACATTTGGGCGCCGATGGACAAAAATCGCCAAGTTGATCGGAAGTCGAACTGTTCTGCAAGTGAAGAGCTATGCTAGACAATACTTTAAGAACAAGGTACCTATAGGATCATTCTAGTTAGCGAAATAACTATGTGATGAGTATGCTGTTGTACACATCTCTTTACCAGGGTATTGTCATTAAACTACCTCTTTATTCTCTTACTCAGCAAAGAAGTGAAATRCTTGCAGATTTATCTGCAGATTTAGGTATGAAGTCAGATCTGATTTAAAATTCCTACAAGGATTTTTTTTTTTTTAATTCTTGGAATAAATAAATAATGTGTTATATAAATAAATATGTTATATAACAGGATTCCCTCACAGTGTGGATTATCAGACTGAAAATACTTGTCTTCCACTGTAGAGACACTTGAGCTGTGCAGTGTAATTCCATTTTTAGCCCCATTTGAAACTGCTGGGCAATTCAAAAAGGAATTACCTCTGTTCCTTATTAATAATAAACAGGCTTTTTTGTTGAACTGGAATACATGACATTTTACACTTGCACTAAAAGTATGCCTCTAAGGGTCCTGTGTAAAAGCCCATTACAATTTTAGTGTTTTATGAAGTGAAATAAATATGAGGAAGAAATACGTGAGAAAAGTTCTCCTGATTTTTCTGAGATGTTACTATGCATTTTATTATTTACATATTTTATCAGCCTGTCAGATAACTCCTCATGTCTCCTGTTCACGTAAAACGGTTCTGGGTCTTTGCAGGGTAGKTGTGTAGGGGTTATTTGACTTTTTTCTACTGAAATTTTGTTATGCTTTCTTCAGGCRAAAAATGATGAATCTGGAAAAGAAGAGCAAAGTGGATGTGGTAGCAGCCATCTTTCTCTTGAAGATAGAACGAGGGTAGAAGCATTGTCACCTGGAAGCTTGAGAGGCCGTGCAGACCCCAATCTGAATGCAGTGAAAATTGAAAAACTGTCAGATGATGAAGAAGTAGACATAACTGATGACATGGATGATGAACTGCTTTCTCCTGCTTTCCTGCARGAAGCTGGAAAATCTGACCTATCTGTTCTTTCCCAAAGTCCAGTTCAAGAAATGAGAGGGAAGGAATGTGGGTTTTCATCTATTGGACACAATTCTGCAATTTCTTTACCRACAGAAGTTCATCAACGTACCGCGCAAGTATGCACCATGGAAGCATTAGTATTTCCAGATGTTGCAGCAACATGTTCTCAGCATGTGAACGGTGATAGATCTGTAAATATAGATTATCAGCAATGTAACAAATCTATTGAGAAAGCTGAACAGACTGGAASAGTAACATCCTGTGCTACTGGGCAGGTAGCTAATCAGGAGCTCAGTGAAGTACAGAGGGACTTGGCTGGAAATGGATTGCTTTTCAGTTCTCCATGCCAGGTGGATGAAGAGCATCAAGAAGAGGCAGAAGATCTTAAGCCACCTGATCAGGAAGTGGAGATTGATAGAAATATTATTTTAGATGAAGAAAAACAAGCTATTCCTGAATTTTTTGAAGGACGCCAGGCCAAAACACCAGAGCGTTACCTGAAAATTAGAAATTATATTTTGGACCAGTGGTAAGATTGAGTAATTTCGCATGTGTGATAAGTGATGAAGATCACTTGAGCACTGCTTTGTTGTAGCTAAAATATTACCTAGAAACAATAGCTTTCTTACAAAAAYGTTAAAAGGAATTTTATGGTAACATTCTTAAGATTGCAGATGAACAAAGAGCACAAACTAAGAACTTTTATTTTCTTGTGCAATTTAGAAGGCAAGCAATTAAAATACTTTGAAGCATTATGGGAATGAATGTGCTGTGTCAGAACAAATTGCTACCATTTTGCTAGGTTATTTCCTTGCAATTTTTTATCATCCAAAATATGTAAGACAATGTACAACCTTAAGTAGCTCCTCAGAATATCTGATATCAAGTCCAAAGTGATGTCTGTAGTAGTTATGTGTGTCCACTTTTGTCTGGAATAGAATGCCTTTCCAGAGAAGCACCTAGAAAGTATAGCCTGTACTAGAGAATACAACATTGRTCAAAAAATACTTGAAATTAATTTTTGACTGGAATAGTGCTTGTGCATTTTAACATTTTATGTACTATTTGCTAGGAATCAGTTTAAGGAACCTTAAATACATGTGATCACAGCTTAAATATCTATATATTTTGTTCTGTTACAGCTGTGTGTGCTTGTTTGGTGGTTTTGGGGTGTATGTGCATGTGACAGTGAGAAGAATTACTGCATTTAACTGAGTTGTCTTGTAGAGCTTAGTTGCATAGAAACTCTGAAGTGCCATATCAGAGAAGAAATGTTGAACTGAAACAATTGAGTTTCAGCTGCAAGAAGTGCATAGAAAATGGGGAAAAGGGCTCATTTATACTGCCAGGAATGCCTATGCTTACATAAGATATCTAGACTAATTTAATCTAGACTCTTATCAGAGTTTAGCAGAATCATAGTAGTCTTGAGTAATTCACTGCTTCCTGCTCCTGGGCATTTTCAGGAATTTGTTTTCATGCAATGGATATATCCCTTTCACTCTGCAGAACCCAATTATAACTTTCCCAAAAAAACATACAATTTGTATTTTTGCTGTGATTACTTTCTATAGTGTGTGCATGCTATCTGCATTGSGGGGGAAAAAAGCACTTTGGTGTCTCATCTTTTCCTTAGCCTAAGTTGCATGATTTCCCCATGGGCTGTGTTACTGTTTGATCATGTGCTGTGCTTTATTTTAGGGAGAAATGCAAACCCAAGTATCTGAATAAGACTTCAGTACGTCCAGGCCTTAAGAACTGTGGTGACGTTAACTGTATTGGACGGATACACACATACTTGGAATTGATAGGAGCAATTAACTTTGGCTGTGGTAAAACAATATTTTAATTGTAATCAATTCAGTACTTGAAATTCTGAAGGGTACATGCTGTGAACATCTGTTATTGATTGTCAGCTTTTCTGTTGGAATTAATGATTTTAATGGAGGATAGACATGAGGATCTGTAGCTGGCCTTTAAGAAAGTCTGAGTTTCAGTTCATTTTTCAGTGTAGTGTGAATGACTGCCCTTAATCAGCACCAAGTCCCTGTTTGGATAATCTTATAACTTTTCTGTTCTGTTACTCCTGATTGCTTGAATAGTAATTKCTGTTTCATTTAAGTTCTTCAGATGAGAATCTGTGTGCTGCATTATATTTAGTGCAGTCATGTTCCCAACTCAAATGGCTCTAGTCAATTTTGATATTAATGAAAGACTTCTTAATGATGCTCACACAGGAGAATTTCCATTAATCTTTATTAAGAAGTACTTTCTGAGCAGATTGAGTCTRTTATGGCATTTGGGAATCTAGAGGAGTTTGTAACCTCCTGACAGGATTGTGGACTTCTAAATTAATAATAAAGACTTTTTATCCCTTACATATGTGTGACCCTGTATACCAAGTGCCGTTCTTCATTATATGTTCTACGTGCACTCATTTTTTTTTGTTTTCCTGATGCCTGCTGTATTCTGTTTAGAAAAGTTAGAATTCAAATTATTGTTTCCTTTTCCTGTTTTTCCAGGCTGAATTTTAAGTATTTATGCAATAGAATAACACCTGCTTTCTCAGGCTCTTTTGCTTACAAGATTCAAATGCTGAAATCAGATGATATATTAAAATATATGCCTATAGGTTAGTATCATTATCATTCAGTTGTAGAGTCTCTGTAATGGGTTGAGTTTGGTCCAGCACTGAGTGACAGCTGTCTTGGAAAGGAGAAATCTCGCACAGTATATATCAGCTGATAAAGAGGCTTTTAGAAATAAATCAGAAGGAAASAAGTAACTTTACCACAGCATTTTTAAAGCAGGAAATGAGAGGACAGTATAGCCAGTCAGTGGTATGACCATCAAGAGGTGCCTTTTCTTGGGGAGGGTGGAGAGATTTGTGGCTTCCCTAGGGCATTTTTCCGTATTATTTATCATTGTCCTTCTTGGCTCTTTACCAGACATGAGTGGCTTCGCACTTTACTGGAGTTCTAATCTACATTTTCTTGGTATCCCATAGAACAGGCTGTCTATAACAGACCACAGCCAGCTGATAAAACACGCTCCAAGGAAGGCAAGGACACAGTGGAAGCCTACCAGCTTGCTCAGCGTTTGCAGTCCATGGTATGTCCAGGGGCTAAAACACATGCACCATGAAGCTGGGCATTTCAGTTTTCTGCTTTCAAGCCACGACATCTAGAAAATTTTCTTTGTCATTCAATATGTCATTTTCTCAAAAAAATTGTAATTAAAGTGTCAGCGGAAGTGCTGCTTTTGCTTTCTGACAGGTGCATCTGTCCTAGTTTGTGTTACCCTGCATGGCTTATTTATATTCAGGTTCTCAGCTAAGAGTTTTGCAGTGTTTGTGGAGCCCCAACCACTTCTTTCTCRCCTCTTCATAATTTATTAGCCTCATTTAGCCAGAAAATAGTGCAGTGCATTGACAATATGCCATTAAATTGCTTGCATTTTAATCATGAAGTATAGTGTATATCTGATGTAACTTGGAGCTTTATCCACACAATTAAGCACAGTAGTAACTCATTTCTTACTACATAAATTACCAAGGTTTGACTGATGAATTTTTATATTAACAGTTAATGTCAATTTTTTTAGATACTTCATAGCAAAATTGGTTAATGAAAGAAAACTAAATCAGTCTTAATGGAAAGAAAGAATTTTACATGTAAAGAACTGTAGCGTATACTGCCTGTAAACATACTAGTTTATATTTTTCTATGTTGTCTGCACTGTAGTTCATACCTGTTTATTAGTGGCACCGCTGCTSTCAGATGTTGATGATCTATTGAGCGTCATCCTAGATGGATATTTTACAGCCTGGAAAAAAAATTCTACTGGTAAATTCTACTGGTATTTTGTGACAGATTGTGAACTACTAAATTCTGCAGCACTCCAGGGACATTTCCATTTCTGGAAATACATCATAGTTAGTAGTATCCACATGAAAGTAACCCTTTGGGTATTTTTCATGTGGCAGATTAAATTAAATGAATTTAGTGTTTCAGGAGTATGATCCTTGACTTATGTTTATTTGTTTGTTGCAGCGCACGAGAAGACGACGAGTGCGAGACCCTTGGGGAAAYTGGTGTGATGCTAAGGATTTGGAAGGACAGACATTTGAGGTAACTCTTCTGTTTTTTTTAAACTGTACTTACAGAACTAATTCTTGCTAATTGCTAGCAGGTGGTGTAGCATTAAATATTGTAGCAAAATGGTTTTATAATAGGTGCTTAACCTCTCTTTGTGGAAGCAATAATTTGAAAATAATGTAGCATCTGCTACATCTTTATGCTGTTGGTAAAGAATAGACTGTACTTTGTGTGTGTAAAGATGKTCGTGTCATGAACACATATGGCCCTCCCCTGTTTTATGTCTAATAAAACTCTTTGGATTGTTACATAGATTTTATGACCCTTTGTTTTCAGTTACAGAAAAATTGTTTTCATTTTGTGTTAGATAAACCTTTTGAGTGGGGTGGRGTGGCTTAATGCAACATTAAGGTTAAAATATCAATCTATCAAAGGTCAGAAAAAAATGGTTTAAATTCTCCCACCCATTCAATGGTTTGAATTCTTCCCTTTAGCTGTACCTTTAAAAAAAATGGCCTTATCAATTGTGCACTTGGCACAGATTTCAGTTTTATTTAATTCAGTTTTGTTCCAATATATCATTAATCCACCAGAAGAAGAATGAGTTTATCTTTCTTTTTTTTGAGAAGAAAAAGAAAATTTGATTTCTTTTTTTAGAGAATATCTGAAAGCTAAATTAGATTGCTTTCTACTGTTGATGCAAAAATTTTATTTTTATATATGTGTGTGTGTGTGTGTGTATATATATATATATATGAAAAATTCAATTAGGCTTTTAATCTGGATTTGTAGATTCAAAACAGAACAGCCTTTRTAAGTATATACATATATTGGATTAATGAATAAAAGTGCAGGACTTGTGAATCAGATGTTGTCTAGTGCAAAAAGAGTTAGATTATTACTTGTCTTGAGCATGCTCTTTTAATTAGTTTGCTTTAGCCCTACTAAATATTAGGAAATAGGGGAATATATTTTTTTCATTCCTGTAATGTTCCTTTGTGCTTGTAATGCAGATGATTCCTAAAGCAGTTTATGAAGCTCTTAAAAATTTTTTACTAGTTTAAATATTTTATRGAAGGCTTGGCAACAAAAAATCCACATAAGCATGTTCATTCTACACTTTCAAATTAAACCCAAAGCAAAGAACTGTAAGCATCCTATTTGTCCTATGTGAAATATTCACTTATATTTACAGCCCTCAGTAGTAATTATGTGTTAAAAAAAATAAAATAAAWATAATCTTGACTTTAGTGTTATACCTAATTTTTGAATATGTACATGTGGTTAATACGTGTGGTATTCTCTGCAGAATAACTGCCTGTGAATTTTTTAAAAGAACTCCTARCACCCAAAGAGGTGTTATGGAAAAACTGTGGCCACAAATGATAATAAAACAGTTACAAAATTTGTGTTTATGCATGGTTTGAGAGATGACCTGTGATTTTCATTGAATGTGATTGACTTGGAGAAATTTTTAAAATTCTTTTATCAGTGCTCTTGCAAGCTAGATTTCCAATTATTTTTGTTTTCATACTACTTGATTCTTTTATGGCTATTTTCCTGTATCATGAATCCTTCAGTAACCATAAATTGATAATTTATTAAGAGGTKGTTGAGGTCAGTTGGAAGTGCTATTGAAAGAGCACTTAAGATGATTTTTTTTTCTCTTYTAGCACCTTTCTGCTGAAGAATTAGCAAGAAGAGAGGAAGAAAAGCTTAAACCTCCAAAGTCTTCTAAAGGTTCAAGACAAGTAAAAAGGTACTTGATGTACATCRTGCTCAAAATGGATCTGTGGGAAATAAAAACAGCTTGCATAGGGTTGGAACGGAACAGTGCAAAGCCATAATGCATTCTGTGTAGTCCTAAGTCATGTGGAGGCATTTCAGATGCTTCCTACTGAAACTGGTGAGTGCAGGTAGCACTGTTCCTGTATCTGGTGGAAGTTGTCCTAGCGTGGGATGAGAGGATCCTGTAAAGTAAAAGATAMCGTTTTTCCTCTGATGCTGAGACAGTGGGAAACTTGAAAAGTTTCCTAACTGTCCTACATCTTTAGAGAAATTTTCTTTCATTTTATAGTTCCTTTGATCCCTTTCAGCTGATACCATGCTGTTTGTTCACAGAAGAAAAACAGGTATGTACCTGTGAGTGAGTAATCAAGAACAATCATTTATTTGTTCACTTTGATTTTCTTATAGTACTTATTTTATTTATCATTTCAGGAACCTTTTCAGGTGAAAGTATCTTCAGAAGCACTTCTAATAATGGATTTGGTGAGTAATAAGTTTTATCTTTTTAAAATACCATGATACATAATGAGTTTTTATGTGCAATATTGGAAACTGTGAAATACGGGGTTTGAACTGACTTACGGCCATTCAGTCCTAGAAGCTATTATTGAACAAAATCCAAATAGCTTAAAATGCTTTAGTTTTTCTAGATGGCACATACTTGCACTGATTAGAGTGTTAGCATGTATAATCCTCAAGGTCATATGCAGTTACTTGAAACTACGCTCTAATATGTAATGTTGTTTTGAAATCTTCATGTTTCATTTCTAGTCCAGAAATAGATTTTGTGTTTGCAAATCTTTTTTATTATTTTTTTAATGTAGGACAAGTTGTACCAAAATGTTCAGTTGTTTTCTGACACTTCACAGGCTTCAGTTTCTGAAGATAATATTATTTTGTACATAGAGGTGTTCTACTCACATATGTGTATGTACAGTGCCTTTGTATATGTGTATTTATATACATGCACACACACACACACATATATATACACAAGCAAAAAGTAATCTTCTAGGTACTAAGTTTTCCTTCTAAGTTTCAATGGAAGTAACTGAAATGGAGTTACGAAGCAAATGTRTCTTCTTATCTGAAGATCTAAATTAGGAGAAATCATTCCATTTGATCTTTAACTGTTCTTTACTGTAATTTCAGCATTCTCATGTGTCTATGGCAGAAGTAATAGGGTTGCTGGGTGGAAGGTACTCTGAGGATGATAAAGTTGTTGAAGTAAGTGTTTATCTTTTTATGTTTTCTCTGAAATAATATATTAAAACTTATTTCAGGTATGAATAGTTGTAAATATTATTTCTTAAGGAGCAACTACTTCATTTATATTAAAGCTGAAATTAATTACTATAGTCTTAATTTTATTGATGCTTATATTCAAGTTTTGTGGTGTCAGCTCTTTCACGAGGAAGATTTGGTGTAGGAATAAATAAAATTCACTGAAGTTTCAACGGATAAACGCAAGAAGCCTCAATCAGTCTGGAGACTTTGTTTTTAACAGGTTCGTGCAGCAGAACCTTGCAATAGTCTCAGCACAGGATTGCAATGCGAGATGGATCCAGTATCTCAAACTCAGGCCTCGGAAGCGCTGGCAGCCAGAGGATATAGTGTTATTGGATGGTATCATTCCCACCCAGCCTTTGATCCCAACCCCTCAATAAGAGATATTGACACTCAAGCTAAATATCAGGTATTTATGGATCTTACATATCAGGTATTTACGGATCTGTACAAAAACAATAACTCCAAAGACAAGACCTCTTAGCGTTAACAGCCTTGACGTGCATTGTTGCATTAATATATACTAATACCAGTTCATAAATTTATTTGTAGCTTTACAGAGCACTTTTGATTCTTTTCTGAYATACCTGTTCTTTTTTCTTCCAAAGGCTGTTATGAAAAAAAATAGTAGTATTTTCCTAAATACCAAGATTTTTCTTTTTTGTTGTTTTTAGGGTTATTTCTCCAGGGGTGGCGCCATGTTCATTGGAATGATTATAAGTCCTTATAACCGCAATAATCCTCTTCCGTATTCTCAGATTACTTGCCTCGTCATTAGCGATGAGATCAGTTCTGATGGCTCTTACCGTGAGTACTCTGATTTAACTGTTTTCATTCTTCTTTTCCTTTTGGGTATTAAGGCTAAAAATGTTGCCTGCACTTGAAAAATAAGTGTCTGTGTGTGTGTCTGTGTGTGTGTGTGTAAGGAGGATTGGGTATAAAACCAGAATTTTACTTGCACAGTCATCCTGCAAGTGGCCCATGCTGTCATGACCCCATATATATATATATATATGTATGTATATATATATATATATGTATATATAAGCGTAGGAATGGGATTATTCTGACTTAGCACACTGATGTGATAGGATTCCCCACAGGCTATGAAGCATCCCTAATAAAGGGGTTGGGACAAGGGCTGTCATTGGTGTTTACATTTGAAATCCATTAAATAACCGAGAAACTGTTTTACGTTATTGGCTAAACTTTGCTGCTTTGTTAATAGCATTTTGTGAAAACAGTGTTTATTTTTTTATTATTATTCAATAATTTGGGAGTACATGTGGGGAAATGAATATTCTTGAAGCATTAATCAAGTATTCTGCTCATTGCCATAAGTTTGAGATGAATATGAATTCACATATGAATTCAATATGCATGACTAAGCTCCCTACCTCTTTTCTCTCCTCACCCCTCCTGTATAAACCCCAATTTATTTATTTWTTTRTTKATTTAGTATCCAAGCATGAAGTTTTCTAATGTTCTTCGTGAGGCGATAGAGATGGTGTGACATGAGAGTTCCCTTTGTTTTTGTTTTTTTGTTTTTTTTTTTTTTTCATGTGCAAATAGGTGAGGGAAACTGTGTACCCGGAGACTTGCTTCCATAGTCCCAGGGGAAATGGAGTGCTGACCACAGCTGTGCAGTAATTCCTGTTTATTGTACAGATTGTACTATATACTAATGAATTGTGAACAGTTAGCAGGAAGGAAGGGATTGTATCTACAAGTAAAAAGGAATGTCAGATGTTACAGAAACACTGAAGAATCATTTTAAATTAATTACAGGCCTGCCCTACAAGTTTGAAGTACAGCAGATGTTGGAAGAACCTCAGTGGGAATTAGTATTTGAAAAAACAAGATGGATAATTGAAAAGTACAGATTCTCTCCTAGGTATGTGTCTGCTTGTGATATGCCTGCTTTAAGATAGTCAGTTTAGAAGCTTTGCATATTTATTATCATCTTTTCAATTAGCATGTACGTCTGCTTTCATCAGGACTTTCTTATTATTTTCAACAGCAATGTCCCCATGGATAAAATTTTTCATCGGGATTCTGACTTGACATGTTTGCAGAAAGTAAGTGTTTCTCAATTTTAGTTTTTAAAATTCTCTCTTTTTYTCCTGTTTTTGCTTGCTTGTTTATTTTAGTATTAGTCTATTTGATAAATCAGGAGTGACCAGAAGTTGCAGCTTTAGGAATCACAAATACAGACTAATCACAATAAATGACTTACGATGTGGCTAGTTTACTTACTAACACAGTGAAAACAAGGACGGTCTCACTTGAGAGAACTAGGAACAACAGCTAAGGASAGATGCTAAGTTTTAACCTCAGTTTGGAGAAGAAAGAATGGGAAATCATAACGTGTCACCTCAGCATGTTGTCTGTTTTCAACATCAAGGAGAGCTGCCTGCATGTTGAGAGAAGATTTAGACTTCAGAGTCTGTTCTACCAGCAAAGTGGTTGCTGTGCCATGTCTGTTGTGCCTAAATGGGAATTTGAATTTTATATTCTGTGCAGTCTTTGCTCTGAAGTTCTAAATAACTGAAGTTGCAACATTAATTGCACAAACAAGGCAGAAAATCTGCTCAAAGCAAATGACATAAACAGAAAACACATAGGCAATAATTATCCAGATCTGAATTTTTCCTCCCAACATGACTTTTCTTATGAACATCCTAAATATTGTTAGACTCAGGTGATAAAATACTCTTTTGAGTTTAGTTGTGTAATTTGCTTTAAGGAACTTAATCTGTAGAATAGCATGCACCCATGTTGCAGAAGTGACTATTTTAATTCTGCATTACATAACCAATTCTTAGGCACTAACAATCTGCAAAGAAAGATCAGCAAGTATTTATTAGCTGAAAGGACAAAGAATCGTGTTAAAAAGAAAAAAAGAATCTATTTTTTCCTAATTTTCCTTTTCTTTTACCTAGCTTTTGGAATGCATGAGGAAGACTTTGGGCAAGGTAACAAACTGCTTCATTGCTGAAGAGTTCTTGACACAAATAGAAAACTTGTTCCTTTCCACCTACCAAAGTGAGAGAAAGAGTAATGCTGAAGAAAATGAGAATGAATGCTCAAATGAATTGCCAGTGTGACGACTTTAACTACAATGRCAAAAAGAGACTATGAAATCCTGAATCTGTAGTCCCTCCTTCCTCCTCCCTTATGTCAACTCCTTCAGTATCCTTGTTTAAAATAACAGTTGCAGCATCTGGTGTATTTGTATTGTTATAGGTAGAAGATGTTTAAAAAAATTGTGTCTTCTGACTCCGTGAGGGGCTTTAATGTTCTGTAAAAATGGGAATGTCAGAGACAAGGTTTTAATTGACCAGCAGTTTATGATATGGGGAAAAAGGACAAATGGTGAAGAACACGGTTTCCATCCCAAATGAGCATTTGTTCTCCCTCAAGTTTGTTGGTTTGGGAATTTTTTCCTATTTTTTTATCTACAGATGCAGACTAGATAAATACCAGCTATATGTACACAAAAAGAATGAATATATTCTGTAATGCTTTAGGGACTGTAAATTTGAATCAATTCACAAAAGAGAAACCACTTTACTGAAACACAGATTTTGTAATTCATTGCTTTTAAATTTCCCTGCTATCTGATCTGAAGTTTTCTTCTTTGGTTTCATACATTGTCTAGTTTGGTTTTCTTTGACCCCAGAGGTAAGTAGCTTTGGGGCACGGTCTCAGCCATCTTTTTATATACGTGCATGAAAGGCCGGTGGTCTTTCACGATTCCTTATTTTGCGTTGTTCTTRTTTCCAGTGGAAATGATGACCTCTTTCTTACAGGTAGTGTTGTGTCTGATCTTCCCGTTTGCAGGGAGATGCCTTGTTCTGTCACGTCGTTGTGATTTGTAGCTTCTAATTGCCACTGTTTCCTGTGGAAACAAGAGCTCCTGACTTGATTTCATATGGCAGACTAAGTGCCATTTTGCAGCAAGCAGAGAAGTATTTGTATTAAAAAGTTTGCAATATAGGATTTTCTATTCAGACCGTCTCTCCACAATGTGCAATTTAACAAGAGAATATATTATTTTATATCAGTTCTTCAGTTAGAATTTCATACAAATATGTATTTCGACAAATTAGTCATAAACAGCATTGACCCTGATGGAGGTTTTCTTGATTGCAACTTGCATCTCATGAGTTTATATCACTGTGAATTTTTATAGAAAAATGTACTTTACATTTTGCTTTATCCATYGTGAAGCTTACTATATACACAATTAACTTTGACAGTGTTTCARGCAAGAGTTTGAGTTTATACCTAGACTGGTGATGGTTGACTTGATTGTAATTTAAACAATGTACGTATAAGTATCTAGTTCTATGTAACTATAAATGGAATTTTAAGATTTTTACATGTCCACATCTTTAACTTCATCTGTTCGTTTGTGTAGAGATCAACAGAGTTTGAAAGGCTTTATCATTATAAAGTTGCATCCTAAGGAGAGACTTCCCTGCAGGAAGTTAAAATTACTTTTTTTTTTTTTTTTTTTAAATCATGCTTTCATGACCTGTTGGTCTCTTCTTATTTCTAAGTAGAAGATGCAGAACCTGGTCACATAGAAGCGTGAGCACGTCTCACATGATGATCCTCCCCATGCAGATTCAAGAGCTATGGACTTAATACGGGGCAATGTTCTCTGTCCATATCTGCTGGCAAAGAGCTTCAAATCCACTGCTATGTATAATTTGCAAACTCAGTGCGTCAGTGTGTGTATATAAGGCATGTCGAGTCGGTCTGCATATGTTCTAAAATGTCATCTCTGGGATGTCTGACTTAAAAATCTTGCATGTCTCTCCGTGTTTCTGGTTTAGACCAGCTCTTGCTGACAAAGCCCCCTTCTCTAGGTAGTTTTGGAGTGTTCTGCACTATAAATTATTCTGTTGTGGTTTTGCATAGACTATAGAAAAAAATCACATAGTATAAATGTACATACTAAAAGTTGTAATTAGTTCTGATTTGTAGAAAAAGAAACTTGAAGCTGAAATGTAACAGCAATATARAGTAGATATTTTTTTGTCCAGATATGTTATATTTCCAGGCATTTATGAATGGATGTCAGTATCACCAAAGTAGTGGTAATAATGTGCTGGCTGCTTCCATTTAATGATTAAAGTGAGTGAAAATAATACAGTTGTAGTAATTGGATTGAACAGAGTCACTTTAGGTAAGAGAAGTTTGGAGCAGGAAAACACGCTTTTGAATCAATTAAAGGTTCTCGAGAAGGCGCCGTTGAGCAGCGTTGAGCCTTTGCACTTGCAGACTTCCCGTTTCCCAGGAATGACCCTTACACATACGGCTGCCTTTTAAACGGAATGTCTAAGCACAGGTAGGYTTTATTACTGATGGGGGTGAGAGGWATCTGGCTGCTGCCGTAATCCAGTCTTATCATAGGATACTTTATGTGAATCAAGAAGAAATATGACAGTTGTGTTGCAGTTTGTATTGGCAGAAACGTTGGGAAGAATGTAACTAGCCTGGTTTTCCTCGTTTATTTTGTCTGTATTGTTAAAGAGCTGGAAAGGAGCATGCTTTTAAGAAGATAAGTCTGTTTTACTAATCCTGCCAATTCTGCTACTAAGCATGTATTAAGCATTAAATCACTGAGAAGCTGATGTTTCCTTTCAACCAGGCATTCGTCTTATGCTGGGTCCATTTTAATACAGCTATTCAAGAGCAATAATATTCTGTTTCTTTATGTAAGACCCGTTATGCCTAGCCAAGATCCTCAGGAAGGAAGGTTGAGTAGCAAGTGGTAGGTTATAACTAAAACTAAGCAGTTGAAAAGAAATTGCGTAAAATAAAGGATGTAGCCAAAAGTAGCATATAAGCATATAATCCACAGGGATTTCGGCCTTGTGCTTATGGGTATTTTGTCTTTTTTAATCTTTCCTAGGATGGTTTTGTTGCAAAAAAAAGTCACATTTATGAAGCAATTTTCCCATTTTGCTCACTTTAGTTTTCAGTACTGATGGTATCCAAGAAACTTGTAATGAAAAGTGTGTTCAATAGCCATCTTCTGTATTTCTAATAGCTTTTTGTCTCTTGAAGCTAAGAACTGACAATTTAATTGTTCCAGCTTCATAGTAATAAAAAAGTGATTCAACTAAACTTAATACCACTAGAGGGGGCTTTCTTACAGCTGATAACAAAAAGTAAATGAAATGAACACAGAGACTATGATTGTGGTTTTGAACTAAGACCTAAAACTGTGCTAACCAGTGCCTATAGACTTTTAGCTGGCGAGTAATTTTTATGGGCAAGCTGTGCACGCTGGTGTAAGTGTCCTTGGTGGTGGTGGTTTTTGCTTGTTCTCCCAACCCCTCTGCTTTGGTCTCCTTTAGGAAGTTCTCCAGCGATGCTTCCCGGGGATGCTGCAAGGTTAGCTCAGGTTTCCACGCTGCTTTCACCGAGGTAGTTCTGGCTGTAAGGAACAGGATATGTGCATTCCCATGTCTCGTTCCAGTGAGGTCTGAAAGCAGCCATCAAATTAACTTCYGAACAGCCGTATCCATTACCCACTTTTGATTCGAGTACGGCATTTCTGGATCTATTTCTGCCAGCAGCACAAGCCGGATTAACCTTATTCCTGCTGTGCTAACAGAAAACAGGTTTCCCCCTGGAGAGGCTGGGGAGGTGGAAAGAGGGCAGCACCACGTGTGGCTCACGGGGCACCCCGAGCCCCAGGCAAGGCACCCGCGGTGCCACAAAAGGCACCCCGGGAGCCCTCGGCTGCCCCGCTCRTCCAGCACCCTGGAAGGAGCTGGCTCGGAGCAGCCCAGGGAGCAGAGCACTGGTATTTGATACCAAACAAGAGTATTTAATGGCCTAGATAAAAGCACTCCGCTTGTTTAATTGGAAGTGTCTCGCTGTTTTACATAGACCTAGTGCCCTATTTTTATGAGAGTTAGAATTATGCAGAGAAATTGTTTCCATGGAAGCAGAGATCAGCAAAGAAATAACGCACTCCGCTCTTGCTACGCGATTCCTTTAGCAGCCTGCTGTTCTGAATAATTAACTCTTGTAATGCCATTAAAATTTAATAGGGATTAAAGGAACTAATACTTTTTTTTTTAGTGCCTTCAGGATTTTTAAGTGACTTTTTTTTTCCCCTTCTAAATGTGTTCTCCTTATTTACAAAGGTAACATCTACAAGTGCAAAGAAGTAAGTGTGAACGTACACTTCTGTTTTGGAAAGTTTGCAATTCTGACACAAAATAATATTAATAACTTAATAATTTAAAAGTATTCCCTCTTGCTGCTTCTCTTGCAACTGTTTTGCATTTCTTGCTTGGTGGTGGCGTGAAGTGAATGCACTTTATAATTAATGGCAACAGTAGTGAGTGACAGAAGTGACTCACCCAACAGCAGGGAAAACGGACCATCTTTTTTCATTAACTGTTTTTTTTGTATATTACTTTTCAACAAACTTTTTTTTTTCTTCTGTGTTTCACTGTAGTTGTCATAAAATGTGGAATTTCTACTGAGGAGAGAAGGTCAAGTTTAAATCCCTGTAAACACCATAGAGGCCAACTACTATTAAAAAAAAAAAAAAAAAGAAAAGAAAAAATCTATTACTTTCCATTCGTTATGGTGCTTTCTGGGTGCAAGGCAGCTCAATTCCCAGATGTGTATGAAGTGCCCGGGCTCCATTCAACTTGGTTGTGAGCTATAGCAGTCTGTAGTCACTGAGGATTAGTTCTTTAGTAAAATGTGTTGCAGAGAGGAAAAAAAAATCGAGCTTCTCTACTCATAAAGTTCATAATATGGAATAAAGGCAAGATATAAACATGTAGTTGATAATAATGGATTTTGACTGTGAAGGAGGGATATGCAATTAAATTCTTGCTTGTATTAAAAAGAGGTAATGAATGATTTAGTTCTCCCATATTTTTTAAGACATACTAAACTCTTACTGAGGAGTATGAAATTTGAAACTACTGAAAATATTTTTAATATTTTTAGCTGTAGATGTCAGCTATTTTCTATGATATCCAGCTACACTCCAGATTATGCCCTTCTCTAATGGCAGAGGATATTTACATCCAAAGGTTTAATTTAAATATATGCAATGTTGTAAGTACTCGTTGATAGGGAGTTTAACTCCCTATTATTTGCATAGACATAAGTCATAATGTACAAGTAGGTGATTTAAAGCAGGGCAGGCCCTTGGAGGGAAGCCAGTATAGATAGAATGAACGGAGTGCAGAGGAGGAGCTTGTGTGGATGAGAGGATGGCATTTGGAGCACTCTGTGGTCAATACTSGTCCCCAAACAATAATTTGCAAAGTGCCTGACAGTGTTTGCCAAAATGGATTTTTTTTCTTAGTGCAAATTCAGAAATCTTTCATTTGCTGCCAGAGCATGGAAATAGCGATTCATGATCATGAGGATGCTTGGAAGCTACTGGGATCTCCTGTGAAAACCATTACACGTGCTGAGTGTTCAGATTGAAAGACTTCTTCAGAAACCTTTGACAGCTCCATAGCAGTAATACAAGCATGAAAACTGTTACTCATAGTATTGTTTTGGGATCAATACGTCAAAGGAAATGCCAAGACTTTCCCTGTTGAAAGATGAGCTTTGCATTTCTGGGCTCTGTTAAGTAGGAGGGTAGTCAGCAAACTGAGGAACAGTCACTCCACCCGGGACCAAAATTGGCAGCGACTGCAGCATTTGGTAAGAGTAAGAGCATATGTTAAAAAAMCAGGTTTTATATTATAAAAATTATGTATGAAGATCACCAAGAGATGGTCTGTAAGGAATAAGAAAGAGCGTGGAGTGGCACAGGAAGTGTGTGGTGGTAGATACAAGGATGATAGAAGGTGCAGGAGTGGAAACGTGTCRGCTAAGGAGTGGGATTTGGACAAGAGAAATGGAACTGGCCTTAGTCACCAGTCACCCTCTGGAGCCACCTCTTCAGAGATTGCTCGCAGTCCCTGAGGAGCTTGGTAACCTCAGGTTGGGCAGACTCCATCCTCATCTGCAAGCAGATATTGGAGATGAGAAACTGAGCGGTGTCTGCCAGTCCCGGAGAGGGCACAAGGAAGTGCCACCACACACTGATAGTAGCGAGTCCTTCATCCCACTCTGCCTCCTTCTGACCCTGTGACTGGAAGGTCAGAGAGGCTTTCAGGAGAAGCCCTCAGGTCTRTCTCTGCCTGCCTTTTGCTTTCTTCTTCCTTTTGCTTGGCCTGGAACATCTGCCTGTGGGGAAAGGCTGAGAGCTGGGTTCAGCCTGGAGAAGAGAAGGCTGAGAGGGGACCTGAGCAGTGTATACAAAAACCTCAAGGGAGGCAGTGAGGAGGATGGGGCGGCCTCTTTTCAGTGGTGGCCACTGATAGAACTAGAGGAAATGGCCACAAACTGGAGCTCTGTAAGTTCCACGGGAACCAAAGGGAAACATTTCTTGGCATTGAGGGTGCRAGAGCCCTGGAACAGGCTGCCCAGAGAGGCTGTGGTGTCTCCTTCTCTGGAGATCTTCAAATCCCGCTTGGACACAGCCTGTGCCACATGCTCTGGGTGACCCTGTGTGTGCAGGGGGTTGGACTAGATATCTCTAGAGGTTCCTTCCAACCTTAGGCATCCATGATTCCTCTCGTGATCTGTCCTCTGAACACCTATATGCAAATGTACTCTCCTCACAGATACACCTGTATGTGTGCACTGTAAGCCTAAAGAAGGAAACTACGTAGGGGAGGATTTGTGCTGCAATCCATAGGGAAAGTCTAAGGTAGGAACTACACTTTGTGTGGGACTTCCTTGCAGTTTCCTCATAAGTAGGTGGGAAGGCAGGCATCTGGGGAATCAGTGCCGCTCCCTGAAAAGTAGTTGATGAAGGTGCAACTTCTTTGGGATTCGTATGTTATGAGGGGCCAGCTGTTTAGGAGGGAGAACCTGTCTGTCAGGTTTGATTTGAATTTTGAAAAAGGGAGCAGCACATCAGCATGTAAAACCAGCAGCCTCCGTGGGTTTAAGCTTCAGACGGTGCTGGCTCTCCCTGCGCACGTCTGCACTTTCTGCCCGTAACATGGAATCGCAGCTGGCAGTTCTGCTGCTTCTGGCCTTGGTGGTGGCTTCGTGGGGACAGGAGAGCTGCAGCTGCGCGATGAATAAGTGGACGCTGTGCACGCAGGACGAGTCCGGGACGTGCACCTGCACCCTGGTAGGTTCCGATCGCAGGGTAAACTGCTCGACGCTGACTTCAAAGTGCTTGTTGATGAAGGCAGAAATGACCCGGCGCAAGGGCAAGCGCTTCCACAGCCCTCACGGTCATTCTGTAGGGAACRAGGGCACTTACAGCCCCGACTGCGAGGACAGCGGCGTCTTCAAAGCCAGGCAGTGCGATGAAAGCGACRCGTGCTGGTGCGTCGACAGTGCCGGGTTCATAAGAACCGAGCAGGGGGACCAAAGCCTCCACTGCAGGGAACTGATCAGGACGAGCTGGATCTACCTGGAACTGAAACACAGGAGAATACCCTGCACCTTTGGAGATCGCCAAGTGGCAAAGGCCCTGGAGCACCTCTTTCTGAGCCGATACAAACTGCACCCCAAGTACATCGCGGGTGTCAAGTATGATGCCCCTTTCATCCAGATCCGCTTAAATCAGAATGACTTTCAGAAATCTGACAGTGATGTAGATATTGCTGATGTAGCTTATTACTTTGAGAAGGATATAAAAAACAACTCCGTATTTCACGCTAACAATAAATTAAATGTCTCTGTCGATGGAAAAGCTCTGGATTTTGAAAACATACTGATTTACTATATTGATGAAAAGCCACCCCAGTTTTCCGCGAAACGTATGATTTCTGGCATCACCGCTGTGGTGACAGCGGTGACACTGACCTTTGGGGTTACTCTGATGCTCATCCTGAGTTGGCRGTGGATAAGACACTATCCAAGATTTGAGATTTTAAGAAATAGGTCAAGTGAAAAGAGCAACTTTACAGTTGCCTCAGTCTGAGAAAAAAGGAATGGGACTTCAGCAGTAACAAATGCAGTAAGAGTTAAAATTGCAAATGGATTCAGTGTGCGGTGGGTTTATAGAGACTTCCCTTCTACTGGGGTTCTCAAGAACTTCTAGTGTTCGTTTTGAAGGATCTTAGTTTAAGAATGACTAACTCTTTGGGTATCCATTTATTTAGAAGTCAGTTAAGAAAACCTTTGGAATAAATTAATCCCAGTTCAGAAGAAAACTGTTATAATTATTCTGTATTATGTTCAATAGACAATTTCACTGATTCTATGGATCTGGTTCAGCTTCCTTGATTGCTTTGAGTCCTTTGGTATGTATGGTAACTACTGAAACTTAAATGCTTCCAGTACGACCAAAATAAACTAGGGCAGGTTTTCTGCATTTAGAAGTTTTTGAAGAAGTCTTTTCTAAAGTTACACGAGCTTTTTAATAAACAGCACATTTCATAAATATTGCTAAATAACCMAGTGGGAGGCGCTCAGTTCCTGACTTTGTATTCACAGCGCACCCGACTGACACTTGTCGCTGGCCAAGATCCTGTAATCCCGATGCAAGGGCAAGAACGTTACCTGTTGGGCCCAAATTCAAGTTTGAGAGATTGTTTTCTGTGTACCTTGCAACTTCCATGGGAGGAGATCTTTTCCTGGATTTAACAGCTTTGCAGGAATGCTGMACAGTGCTCCAGGACCAGTTGAGGGGACAGCTGGGTTCTGTTAAACCTGCAGAGGGATTTAAGCAGAATGTTGTTGCTGAAGTTGGAATTTGGCCAAGATGCTGAAGCTGGGCTTCATCACTACCTGCTCATTGGCTTAATTCTTGGGTAGCTGATAGGCACAAAGAGGGACGTTTCGGGAAGAAATGATATTATTAAAAACTGAAATATTGGGAGTTGTGTTCTCCACGCTGTGTATGCATGTCTGAATTCTCATCAGCCTAAACTAGTTTTCACTTAAAAATCCACTAATTACATTCAAAACCATTACACCTAGGCAGTCCAGAAGAGTCAAGTGTTCAGTTAATTTATTTTTTTAATTGAGATTATTATGCAACTTCTTGAGCAAACTGCTCATAAAATGCATGTCTCATTCTATGGTAGTATGCAAAAATGCACCAAAAGATGTTTCCTTTCCTCCCTCCCTCCCCCTCCAAATACTTGGACATGTTAATAGGATGTTGGGAAAAGAATGAAAAATGAGTGTTCTATTTGTATCTCTGTTTATAACAGAAAATAGTAATTTATCCTTCTTAGCATTGTGACTGGAATGCAAGCTTCTGGATTTCATCTAATGTGGCCCACGTGTTTGCTTTTAACAGTCTTCTGGCCACTTTTCTTATTTGTCTCATGAAAATAATTTGTTTTCTTAACATGCAAAGGAAGATTTTATATTAAAACAGTCTATAAACACATGAAGGAGAAAGTAATATGAATATATTGGCATAATTCTCATGAGTTGAGGCCTAAATTACTAAACTGGTTTGAAAATACAAATCTTAACAGATAGGTAATAGATTCACAAACTATCTCGTGCTTTTATCTTTAGAAACTGATATTGAGAGGAGATTGGGATTAAGTTATGGAGCTGTTCATACTTTAAWTAATCATTAAAAGACTGTTCAATGTAATAGATGTCTTTTGGTCTGTGCATGCTGCTTTTGGGCTGGAAAAGCACCAGGGACAGTTAATGGCAATAGTAAGGTTTGTGTCTGCAATTAATCAAAAGAAAAGAAAGATCAATTGCAGTTCAGAGCATGGAGACCATCTCTTTAGATTATGTTATTTACTTGAACAAAGCTCTGTAAAACTGTAAGGTCTCGACATTTAATAAACTCAATATACTCTCTCATTGCTCCTGCTAAGTATTCATTTCTCTCCTGCTGTTGCAGTCATCACCTCTCGGGCTATACATTAATATCTTTCACATATGGCAGATCAAGTATTTCCCTGTAACGATCCCTGATGTTCGGCCGCTCTGCCGTTCTGTCCACCACTGTGTTCTCACTCGAAGCAATTTCCAAGGATAAAATGAACTCCCTGTCAGTTTTAAATTCTGCAAAATAAACATGCATTTTTTTCATTCTCATTTCAGAAATCTAACTCTTCATCAACAAAAGGATGAACAGAAATTTATGTCATCCTGTTTTGACCATGTTTTTGTTTATTAGATTTAAGGCTTTTTGAAAGGGGCTGGGTGGGTTTGGCCGACGCTGTGACCACGCTGGGGGCTTGCTGCTCAAGGTGGCACTTTCTCCATAAACATATATGTATATTTCTGTATCTCCAAGTAGGTACAGGAATAAAGGCATGGTGAATATGATGGAGGACCTCCGAGCTACTACCTTCATGTATTATATAACAGATTTATGGCACGCTCTTTTCAGTGAAGGCAGGGCTGTCTGGCAGCTCGTCTGTATTTTGCAATTCCAACTAGTGAAMGCTGTTCTAGTCAGAGACCAACATAACTGCTGGCGGAGAAGGAAATCTTGGCTCTGTGCTAGGGCCCGGAGGAGCTGCCCTTTCCATAGGGCACTCACAGCTACCTTTGTGCAGGTCCATAAAGAAGCCTTTAGCCTTGTCTCCTGTCTTGCTTGAACTTCTAGGTTTAAGAAAGGGGGAAAAAAAAGGATGTTTTTTAGCTGCCCAGGATGTGAGGCCAGTGCCAGAAGCAATGCCAATGCTACAGCAAGGAAATGAGAGRTAAGGACACAGGGAGGGATTAAATTCCTCTTACACTCCCTTCCCTCTGTTCCCTGGTGAAATCCCTGCGTGTTTACGCACGAGCCTACGTTGCCACACGTGTCAACACGCAGTTCTTGTGTGTGTTTGCAAATGACGGGGCGGGCAAGGCGCACACGCGCCCGTTCCTGCAGCTGTGCCAGCTGTGCCGTGGGAGCCGGCCGGATCCCACCCCGAGGGCTGCCCGACATCCCTGCAGCGGGGTAACACACGCCACCCTTTGCTCATCCCACTCCTCCGGACTGGGATTATCGCCCTTGGGGCTGTTGAGGCTTGCGTTACACCCAGGTTAGGTCAATACATGAAGCAGAAAAATCGCAGCGCGTTACTGCACCCAACGGCCTTCGTGTTTAGCTGGTAAAATAGGAGCGGGTCTGGGACAGAGAACTAGATAGATGCAGGGTCCCCTGAACARTCCTTGAAGTGTTTAAAGCCTCAGGAAGCTGCCTTAGACAAAACTAACTCCTACTGCTTAGGTCCTGAAAACGCTTCTTCAGAGAATAGTTAAGGAATTAACTAGGGGCCCTTCCTCCATCTCTCCTTAATTGGACTGGTTAATGCTATTAAACAGATAATTATACCTGCATGGGGAAGACTGTCCTTTTCAAAGTGTTTCTACTGATTTGCCTCAGGGTTTTTTATCTAAGTACTGCAATTATTTCTCTATTTATGCTAAAATTAATCTTGAGCTGCTACAATTGCTATGAGAGCAGGAAAAAAGCAACTTCCATAACTTCTACAATTATTATGGGCAGCACCAGCAGAATTCTTTGTACCGAGATTTATGTAGTTAAAATATTGTATGTGCCTGGCATCCTGACAAGATTCCCATCTCATTTTCACGACAATCCTTACTCCCCACGGGCAGCACTCCTGCAGCCCCGCTCCAGGACACATCAAGCACCCCAGAAATAATTACAGAGACTTTGCGTTATCTAAGCAAAGGGCTGAATGAGAAAGTATTTGTAATTTTCCGCTGAGATTTTCCATGTGGGCCCAGCAGAAATGGTGGCATATGCACCAAATATCTTCTCAGCTAAGGTTTATTTGAAGTAAACGTCTGTCCTCAATCAGGCTTGAAATGAGAAATCACAGCATTTCTGCTCGTCTGTTTGCACCCAGAAGAGCTAAGCAGAGCAACCAAAAACTAATTGGATGAGGCCACCCTGTAGACACTGTTCCTGCATGTGTCCTCTTTTCCTCACCTCATGTTTCTGCCCACATGGAATTTAGCACATGGGGCTTCTCTGTGGATTCTTACAAGCTGCCAGAGCAACAAGAAGGGTTTTTCCTTAATGCACAAGAACTGGGGCAGGCAGCTGATCTGAGACTAGCAGTAGGTGCGAGTGGGAAGGCAGTGATGCCTGGGAAGGCGGAATTGGAAGAGCAGCTGACCAGGCCATGAGAGCTGGGGGAGCTGGGGGAGGCTCTGGGGTGTGAGAAGGGCTGAGGACGGAGTCCACGCGCAGGGAGGACTGCGAGCGGTTTCAGATGGACCCAACCCTGGGATTGCTGAGTGGAAATGGACTGAGCAGAACCGCCTGGAAGGACTTGGGCTGAGGAGAGGAAAAGCTCTGGGATGCAAACAATTCYGGTGGCAGCAGGGATGGGATGGTGGCTCCAGACCCTCACAGGCATCTCTRGCAGCTGGTGGTTTGGAGACAGCTCTATTCTCCACATTCWGGGGTCTATTTGGTTCTCATTTCTCCTCCCCATCTCCATGTACTTTCTTTCTTTGTCACTGGAAATATGTTAGCTATGCAACTGCCTCTCCAAATGAATTTTGTATTTTTGATGCCCCGATTTTGACACTGGACAAGCTCCTCTGTTAACTGTGCTAAGACTTAGTGTAGAGCAGAGAGTGTATATGGAGAGCAAAAGCCCTGAGACACTTATACTTAGTCAATTAAGGCATTTCAATCCAAGGTGGTTTCCTCCATCCTGCCTCATAGCAGGGAATGGGAATAGGTAGCGATGAGCAGCTCCGGTGAGTTCTGCCCTACCACATAGAGTTCATAAGTATGCAGAATTTTATCCCTTTTAAAAAAAATGACAGTGTGGAAATGGTTCGTGATGTGTTAATAACCTTTAATCTATGGATCAATGAACAACGATGAAATTCAGTGTCACCTGAAAAGCTGTAGACCACTCTAAATAGGTCTTAGCCCTGTAARGGCATGAATGAGACTTTGCCTTCTGGTCTTAAAATACCAACTGCACTGGTTTTTCTGAAGGGGCAAAGCTGGTGAACAAAACCTCAGTCTGCACAAGCAGTAAATCTTACCTATCTAAAGCTCTATAATTTCATCAGAAAAAAAAAAGTGCTATACATATACATCCATTAAAATTCAACAGTATGTTCATGGTATGAAATGGCTAGTCTGAATGTTGTTTTGAACTCACAGTCTGTGTTGAGAAAAACACGACTTTATAACAAGCCAAGTGATCAACTATTTATCAGGTTTTCACTCAGAAAACATTTAGAGCTGGTATCTGATAGAGATATCCTATAATTATCTATGCTGTATGTGCTGCTTGGCTGCTTTTAAATTTTAATTATGAGCAATACCACTTTTGGAGATCTTAGAAGTGCAGAATGCAGCATACAATTATTTAGCTCCATCTTGTATTCCTTGCACACTCGAAAACATCCACTGAGTTTAGTAAGAATTTAAGTGAGCCAGGAATGCAGAAATAGCTCCTATATTGTCTATGCGCACAGAGTTCAGGAACACAATGGGAGAAACAGAAAATAGAAGAAAGAAATATGCAAAGAAATAAACCCATTTTCAGCTTTGAGATTTGAAGGAAAACAGAGGCTCAGTGAGGTGGAAGAATGAAATTTGTTCCACAGAGCAGATGGCAGAAAGCTTTCATGCCCTGCTTAGGAATGGAGAACGCTAGATGGAGAGGACAAGAAAAGCAGACGACTACAAAAGCTAAGAAATAAGGACATAAGCATTGGGAGACAGTCACAAATGAGAGTTTGCCCCTCAGTCCTTTATTTTTTTGACAGCTGAGACGCACACGGGCCTTAGGGTTAGACAGAGCGCCTTTTGGCTGCTGCAGCTCAGCTGTTTTTGTGGCCGGAGCTCATGGTCACCAAATTAATGCCTTGCTAACTCACTGATGGGTTTAATCCTTTGTGTCTCTTATGTTAACAAAGGCAAAGCAGCTCTTAAAAGGGAACTGTGACATCTGCAGAGTTTTTACCTATCACTACCTAAGTTTTCCGGGCTCCAAAGTATGGTTACTCTGCGTCTCCCAGACTGCTCCATTTCCTATGGAAAGACCTGTCTCGATGTCTACACCAAAAAGAAAGGCATTAAGGAGGAGGTCAGCAAACAGTGAACAGGACTTGATGCAGCGTGTACGTCACTTCAAAAGGCAAAGGCCTGTGTTTCCTCACTTTTCCCACTAAGACCAGCGTTTCCCCATTCTTCCCAACCAAGGGACCTTTGTTTACAGGAGAAGGCCTCTGGTTTCAGCCAAGCGTGGRCCGCCCTGCCATTACCACACACCCCTCCGTGCTGCACCCTCTCATCAAACACCCTATCGCCATCCTGTCACCCAGCGGCCTATCTATTAGCTCACTCGCTTCATCAGCACCCAGGCAGGGGTGCAGCAGTTAGAACACGTGGGCTCGCCATGAGTTACGTGCTTGATTTGCAACTGGCGCCGGGGGCCAGGGAGAAGCCCAATGCTCCGTCCCACCTTCRCCCCCGTGGTCCCACCCACGGCTCCCAGTATCAGTGAGTGCTGTGAGGTTACAGTGGCAGCCCAGGGCAGCAGAGAGAACGGCTGGCAGAAGGAGCCTACAGCCACAGCACATATATGGGGATAGAACCGCGGATGAGGGATCGGACATCGCCCAAGCGCACGGCTGGGCTACGGGAAGCGCCGCCTCAGCGTCCCCTCAGGAGAGCCCGCGCGCGCGACCGCCACAAAATGGCGGCGCCGGCCGCCTCGCTCCGTGTCCCTCCCCTCCACGGCCGCGGCGGGAAGGAAGGAAGGAGGGCGGGGAACGCGAGGCGGCCGTGAAGGGCGGGCCGGGAGCGGCGCCGCTCCCGCCCTCCGCCGCGGCGAGTAGTGGAGCTCGGCGGAGGCCGCTCCTCCCGCCTTTCCCCTCGTGTCCCGCCCCGCGTCCAGCCCTGTCGTGATAATCGCACCCACAGGTGCGTGGGTGCTGGGGGTGGGAGTGCGGCCTGCCCGGGCGTTGGGGCCGCCCCGCCCGTGCGGAGGGAGAGGGAAGGCGGCCCTGGGCGRAGCCGTCGCGGCGCTGCCGCTTCCTGAGGGCAGCGGCGCGGGGCCCGTGGCGGACACGGCTGCGGGGCCCCGCGGCGCTTCATGGCGCACACGCGGCCCGAGCGCGGGCGAGACGTTAGCGGAGCGCTCAGGAACGTCCCGCTGCACCTGGGAGCGTGTGAGGAGCTGCTGCCCTAGCGAGGCGAGCGCGGTGCGGCCCCTGCCCTATGGGCCTCCTCCTGCTTTTCTGCTATCTTGGTTAAAGGCGAAAAAAAGGGGGAAAAGAGCACTTTAATTTGTTTTCAGTTGCAAAATGTATAATATATATATATATTTTTTCCTGCCTTAAATCTGCTGCAGGATGCAGTTATAATTGTGACTTTTTATTTTTTTACCCAATCCTGGTTGAAYGGACACATGTTATCTGTTCAGATGTAACGATGTTTCATGGTTTCCCCTTCGGGTGGTTTTCCTTAATATGTCTTTGCTATTTTTGTTTCATTTCAGGGTAACTCAACACAAGGGGGTATGAATTTCATCCGTGGTCTCAGGTTTCCTGACAGGAACTGTGTTTTCTTTCACTTGACTTCTTTGACTAAATGGGGCAAGTGCAGTAATTTCTGTGGGTCTTATGCAAGACATTACCGAAGTGAAGTCAGTTGTAAATTAGATACATGCCAAAGACTAAATTTGAGTAGAAATACTGGGAACTGGAAGTTAACTGGAAGTCCTAACTACTACGGAAAGTCAACTGTTAAAGGACAGAAGTGTCTTCTGGACATTGTAAATACGGACATATGCAAGACAGCACACCATGGTTCTGCACGATCTTGCTTCCTGTCTTCCCAAACGCTTCTGGAGAAGATCCCATCCCTCCAGATCAGTTCCCTTGGGCAACTCCCAAATCGTTTTTCTGCTTGGAACATTCCAGTCACCAGGTTTTTCCACGTATCCCCATCATTTCGTGCTGCTCCAGTTCCTCTTTTCTGGATTATCATTAAACCAGCTCAGAAGTTATTTGCCATCATTCTTGGCAGGTAAAATACTGTCCTACATCCGTTCAGACGTTGTACAGAGTCTTGTGCGTGTGCTTGTTGTTGGTAGAGCATATGTGCGCGTAAAGTGGCTTAGTTTGAGTTTTAGTATAAGTCTTTGCAGGGCAAGAGGCTTAACTTGTACAGTTCATTTTATTCCAAAGGAACCAGCCTTTACCAATCTCTAGCTAAAACTGGTGTGAGCTTATGGGGACTACCTCTGATAGTTTTCTTTATCCTTGAGAAAGAGCTTAAAATTTGAGCTGAAAAGTTTGAAAATTAGCTTGGAATTTCAGGAATTCTGCATTCTCAGCAGCACAGCAGTATCCTGTGGGGTACCAACCAGACATAGCTGCTTACAAAAGTATCCGGTTAGTGTTGCTGCTTCCCAACATAGAAGGGCTGCTCTGGGTTGGATATCCTTGCTCTCTTCCAACTCCCTACTATGTGGACAGTGCTTTGGAAGTGGAGCAATTCACAAATCTGATTCCAGTTGTAATGGCAACATCTTTAAAGCAATTTTTTTTTTTCCAGAGTTAAACTCAACTGCAGTCCTGAAAACTTAGAATTTAGAGAAATTTAAAAAATACTTTCCTAAAAGTGATTTCTTTACAAGTGAATGGAAATGACAGTTTTCTCAACAGTGTTAAGGAAGTTATTTCTATTATCAGAAGTTAGATCTATATTTTTGCACTTGTCATTTTCACAAGTGATAAAAAGTGATAGAGCAAGGTACTGAAGGGCTTTGCTTTGTTTACTCTCACATGAGGTGCAAATGTAGAGAATAGAGCAAGGGCAGACAATAACAAACACCTGTTTAACTACAGCCTAGCTTGACTGTTTTTATCTTACAGGAGCATAAGGAAGTGGTGGAAGTCACTTCCTCCTAACAAACGGGAACTCTTCAAGGAAAGTGCAAGGAAAAATAAATGGAAGATACTCCTGAGTGTCAGTAGCTTAGGAGTTTTATTTATTGTGTTTTATTTTACTCACTTGGAAGAGACACCCATCACTGGACGGGCTCGACTGTTGGTTTTTGGAAAAGAACATTTTAGGGAACTGTCACAGATGGAGTATGAGATGGTAAGATTTTAAAGTAAATTCAAAATTCTCTAAAACTGCTTTGCTGCTTTTTTAGTGATGATATAGTCCAGGTATGGAAATGGGCAAACAAGCCTAGTGGTGTCCTTAAAAAGTCTTGAGTTTGGAAGTAAAGACTCTAGCACACTTTTTGGCAGTTAGATTCTCGTTTACCTGTCAATGGAAACAACAACTTTGCTGTATTTTGCTGCATTTACCACTTGGAGCCAAGAACATTCCACTTATTTACCTAAATTCTTTCTCAGAATTCAGGAACACATGAAGATTAAAGAACACATTAAATGAAACAAGTAAACATTTCAAACATGTTTTTTGTCACATAATGAGAAGTGCAACTATCAGATAGAAGCATTGAAAGCATAGCTAATAAGTACATGTTCACACCTGCCTCATTTTCCTTGCTCATTTGAGCACTCTTTGGGTCCCATTTAAGATCCTCTTGTTTTCAGCTGTTACARTCTCCACCTTTAAGAATGTCTTCTGTTCTACTCCTTTTGTTTGTTAGATCAGCTAATCTCTGTTCAGTTGCTTTCTTCCAGGCTACACTTTGATTCAATTTCTGTAACTTGGTTTTAATGTCAGTAAGACTTTATCATGCAGCCATATGCAGGCATCATTACATTACAGAGAATGTGAGATAAGTAAATAGAGTGATTTGTAAGGATGTAAGTAGATTCTCTTATATAAAATTTTCCACTTCATACATTACAAAATTACAAAATAAATATAGAAATACTAAATATGTTTTCAGAAGGAGTATATACAAAAGTCCCACAAATTGCAGTGTTCTGCCTAACTATACATTAGGAATGCTTCAGAGGAAGGAAGATATAAGGCTAGGTCTTATTCTTGATGTGTGCTCTGTTTATTTCATTTTGAGGTTTAATCCTTAACTTGTGGTTATGAATTTTGTGATTCCTTTGTGGMAGAAGGGATGAGAACTGCATTATCACACATGTGAAATATGTTTACTATTAATTTAGATCTTTACTAAATTGTATGTAGTTACCAAACTACTTTAACTGTTAGTCACTCTCAGTATGTTTATTTTGCATGGCAACAAATTTAATTTTTGTTTCACTAAGCATTCGTTAATGATCTTTTTTTTCAGTGGATGTCAGAATTTGAAAATAAAATGTTACCTGAAACAGATGCACGCTATCAGGTTGTGGAAAGAGTGGTTGGTCACTTATCTGAAAGCAATAAGGACGTCCCACAGGTCTCTGAGCAGAAGTGGGTTGTCCATGTGGTTGAAGAACCAGGTATAAATGCCTTTGTACTTCCGGTAAGTTAAGCACCAATGCAAAAATTATTAGCAGTATTGAAATAACATTTTATTTATTTACGTTCTAAATAAAATGGTACTTTTTTTTTTTTTTCCAGAATGGACAAGTATTTGTCTTCACAGGGTTGCTAGATGCAGTTTCTGATATTCACCAGTTGTCTTTCATTTTGGGACATGAAATAGCTCATGCTGTGCTGGAACATGCAGTAAGTATTCATTTAAAGAAAWTTTTCTAAAATTAATTACTTGCATTTACTTTTTCTAATTAAGACTTCTCCTATTGCTGGCAAGCAGAGTTTCTGTTTGACTGCTCTTCAAAGAGCAATTTTACTGAGTTTCTGAATTATATATTAAAAAAAAAAAAAAGGAAAAAGAAACTTAGAGTGAAAACTGGACCCTTTTGTTTTTTGTTTGTTTTCAGGCGGAGAAGGCCAGTCTGGTTCACTTCTTGGATTTCCTGTCACTCATCGTTCTCACCATGATTTGGGCCATCTGCCCTCGTGATAGTTTGGCAATTGTTGGTCAGTGGATTCAGAGCAAGTTGCAGGAGGTAAGGCTGACAATGGAATAGTTCGTACAAAGTGCTTGAATGCATTGACTTGCATAAACATTTTATGTTTGCATTACTGTTGTGTTTAAATATTTCTTAATATTCTCAATACGCTCAGCATTCTTAATATTGTCAATATTCTCAACACCACTAAGTGTGTTTTGGCAGAAAGATAAGAGAGATTACAAGCAAACATAACTTTTTTTTTTTTTTCCCTGAGGGGAAACCATTTTTGTAAGTACATTTCTGCTTTAGTTATGTGTTGTCATTTATCTTTTTGAATTGGAGAATTTTGAACCTTCTAAAATAAGGACTGTGTTTTGGACTGCACGTGTCCTTCATTTTTGATTCTAAGTCAAGTTTGATGATTGTCATCTTAAAATGTAGTTCACTTTCTAAAGATCTAAATGTTGATGTGACAGGCATGTATTTTGAATAGCTGTTAAATTATTTCTAACTAAAATATATGGAATGAGTATCTCAAGTACGTTGTTAGTAGTAGTAAAACATTTCCAAGATTAAAAAGTTGAGCATCTAAATGAGCTTTTAAAGTAYAAACTACACTATAATAAAACTTACTGAAATATAATCCTTCAAAAAGCATAAATTCCAATAAAATTTAGAGCTTTTTATGGTGCCATCTTTCTTCTGCTGTCTAGTTTACTGTCTGATTCTGGACAGATTTTAATCTATTTCTTGCATTTTTTAAAGAAATTTTTCTTACATCATAAAACTTGCATCTGCATTGTAATTAAACTCCTTAGTTTCTTTGACTTTTTATGATTTTTTTTTTTCCTGGATTTGCAACATAAATTATCTCTAAAGAGTTGGTTGTTTGTCCAAGTAGCTAAATAAGCAAGGCATTTGAATATGCTGGCTGGTATTTTGAAGAGCTGAATTTGGGGGAAAAAGAGCAAAGTGAATCAATTCTGACACTAKTCATAATCTAGACAACCAGTTTTAGCTCCCTGTCAGCATCTTTACTTTAAAGCTTTTTTCCTCTTGTAGTTTAACTGCTGCTGATATTTTAGTAAATGGTGTCGTAGTTTGGAATTGTGCTTTAAACTGCAAATGGAATCTGGATTTAAGCTCATGGTCTTGTGCTATCACAAAGATCTGTGATCTCTTGTATGGTAATTCCCTGTTTTAAAACTCTTATCAGGCTGGTCTTCAATAAAATTAAATGTTTCAACATGTAATACTGGCTAAAGTGCTAAGAAGGCCATCTGAAGGCACTGAGCAGAGAGTTTTGTTTCTGTTGCTTACCTATGAATGCGAGACATTGTTTCTGCCATTCAACATCTGGCTATCATGCCTACATGAAAAATGTTTCTTTCTGCAGGCTTTCTCAGAACTTTTTTTTTTCTTTTTAATTTCTTCTCTAACTGTATCTTCTGTTTCTAATGTTCTGGCATCCCAGTTTGCCCTAAATATCCATGGTAGTGCCATGTACCCCTCCTTGAATTATTTAAGCCACTTTGCAGAACTTGCTTCTGTTTCAATCTCTATTCTTCTTTTATGTCCTCAGAGGCTGCTTTTTTTCCTTAAAGACTATTCTTGATTTGTAGTTATTCACTGTAAGCAACTTCTAGTAACTCCTGGTAGGGCTTTTGGCATGTTTACTTCATTCCTACTTTTCTCTCCAAAATAGTGTTTTTATTCTTGCCTTGGGAAATTTTTAAGTTCTCTTGTGGTGTCTCATGGTAGTGGATGTGTTTTAGTCATATTATTTTGAACTGAAACCCACCGACTTTGTTTTTGCAGCAGAAGTTTTGTAGGAAAATGAAATCGTGTCAGCCTAGGAACTGTTCTTGGAATGGCCCAACGTGTGACTGAGTTTCACTTACATACTCCACACTAGTGTGTGCAAAATTCTGTAATTCATATTTCTTCTGTCCTCCAGCTAATGCCATCAGATTTGCATTTCAAAGGGAAACGGATGATTCTTGGTTGTACTTTACCTGGAACTTCCTTTAACATAATAATGAAGAAAGATGTGATTTTCAAGTCACTGGCTAGAACTGCATATTACATCTAATTTTTAACAGGAATTTTTAGGTCATTTCAGAATGTAATTTTTCATTCCAACACATTCACAAATGTTTTCGAAAAATTTTATTTCTTGGTGCAACTTATGTCAAGGCTTTATTGCCTAGAAAGGCATTGTGAAAGAGAGCCCAAATTTTGCCAGGTCATTCAAATTTCCACACAGATTTCAACTTGGATCTGAAGAAGAAACATATAGGTGTCTTACAAGTTACAGACCTGGCATTTAAGTCTGTCTTGTGTGTTAATTGTATGTTGATAATAATCACAACCCAACAAATCTGAAACGCTACATTCTAGCTGCTGTATGGAGTCACATCACAGCCTGTTTAASCTAGTATTTGGTCTGCAACTGGCCACTAGCAGTTACAGATATATTTGTGTACTCAAGGGTTTGGACTCTGCTTGAGTGCTTTGCATTTCTAGCTTTTTTTGTTCTTTTTTCTTACCCCGGAATACATAAGAATGCCATGATTTTCTGCCCAGGTAGAGTTGGTAAAAGCTTTTCCTTTACATTACACTTGCATACTCACACTCATCAGCTGTTTTTTGCCTAACCAAAGCCCAAACCACAATGTTGTGACATAATCCCTATAGTCTCTGCTGGAGTTTACACCTTGGAGCAAGCTGTTTTAGCAAGTCCTAATTAGACTAGGGCAGGGCTGTTGAAAACTATGTGAATTATATGTGCCAAAGGATACTGGATTACATAAGTAATTATTTATCTGATAAAACTGTCCGTGTCCTTTAGTGCCTATTAATACAATAATCATCCACCAGGAAAAAAAAAAGGAATGGAAGTTGGTCAGATTAATATCTTCTACATGGATTTCTCAAGGGTAGTTTACAACTTGTGTTGGGGATACAATCATGAAAGAGGGGTCATCTCTGCGTGGAAATATGCATGGTTATGTTTGATAGGGGGGACTCTTTGCCATGCATCTGAAAGTCATAAGAAGTTTAAAGAAACTCATCATGAAGAAACTCATCATAAAATCACAGAAGAAGCCATTAGGCTTTTTATAGAATTGCTACAATTAAAATTTAAAACAATGACAGCAAGAGTGAAGTGAAATTTTCCTGTTTTGTGCAAGATGAAATGATTTCTTCTAACTATGAAGCTTCCATACAATTCTGATCAATAACATATGTCTACTGTTAATGTTTTAAATGAACTGATTTCAAGTTGGCATTTTCTCTTTAAATGCTGTGAAACTTGTTGGTGATAGAGGCTGTTAAAATATAGTTTTAATTCATTTTCACTGAATACAGACTCAGTGAATTGTGGGTAATGAATTAAAGATTGGATTAAGAACAATTAATACTGACCAATTGCAATATTAATATGAGAGATAAATGCTGTTTTTTATAAGACGACCAGAAAAATAGCTACAAGGCTACTTGCTTTATATATGCCACAAACCAAGAAATATTGTTTTCATGTGTTCCTTTCAGTTTATTTTTGATAGGCCCTACAGCAGGACGTTGGAAGCTGAAGCTGATAAAGTGGGACTTCAGTTTGCAGCAAAGGTAATTACAGATGCTTTGTTTTAGCAGGAACTTACAGACATTTTTCAGTTTCCATTGTAATTCAAATGAGTTTCACACTTCATGCAGAGGATAGATCATTCATTTTAGGATCTCCCAAATCTTTAAGAAATGTAGGTTTAGGAAATGTCAGGAAAATAGGGAAAGGATCATAGGGAAAGATGAAGGCATTCTGGCTAAACTGTATGTAACAAAATTGAAATTTGTAAATGGAGCATTATTAACCGGAAAGGATACTTTCTTACATGTTGTATTACTATTAGGGGAAAAAAGTTACAAAGCATATGTCTATTTTTCTGGCATTTTAATTAAAATACAGCATGTAAATAATATGACTTCCTTAAAGTAAAAGTAAAATCTGGTCTGAAACCACTTGGTACTTTTTTCCTAATTCATATATTGGTCACCATGAGAATTTTAATTCGATTGAAAATAGAACAAATCTATCAGGCCTAGCTAAGTGCAGTACAGCTAGAAAAAATGTTAGATAACTATGAGAGCAGCACCCTCTAGTGTTAATATTTCATAAGAAAGATTGTATTAATAGAATTATTAATATTTTGTCAAGTTAGAAGGTGTTTTTTAAATGAAATCCTTTCTGATTCTGAAATTGCACTTGCTGTTTGCAATTATGGGAATAGTTTCCCATACACAATCCATGGGAAAGCATAATTAGTTTCTTTTTAGATAGCAGATGATATTTCTGCCATGAATACTAGAAATTGYGGAGCTGGTTGTTTTTTTCCTCTTATTTCATGTATAAAACTTGAAGATCAGTGGAATTAAATAGGTATTAGAAGGGAGTATTCCGGTGTCCATGTGGAAGAGTTTTTACTTTATTGCAGTATTTTAGAATAGCCTTTATCCATCCTATACAAGGTCAACTATCTGAAGAGCTTTTGCAGATGTACAATTTGAGATATCTGTTGTGATTCATTAGCGCATGTATTTTAGTGCCTTAAAAACATAATGCTGCATAGGTTGCATCTCTGCTTTCAGGCCTGTGTGGATGTCAGGGCCAGCAGCGTGTTCTGGCAGCAGATGGAACTAGCAGAAACCATCCAAGGGCAGCCCAAGATGCCAGAGTGGCTCTCGACGCACCCCTCACATGAAAACAGAGCTGAGCACCTAGACCGGCTTATCCCAGAGGTGAGCAGGGCCCAGAGGCCGTGGCTCTGGGTGTGGAAGCAGCTGCCAGAGCCAGTTTGATGTTTGCTCACAAGCTACTTTTTCACAGAAATTTTCTGTTAGAAAACTCCTAACTTCTCTAATTTTTGTTTAATGAGGAAAAATAAGGCAAGATAAGTAAAATGTAGTTATATTCTAGGGTATTTTTCTGATTTCTGATCCAAGTGTAGTACTTYTGCTGTTTAACTGTTTTCTCATACAGATATGATGGTGACTTAAGACACATCCATCCTTTTCCCTCACTTTAGAAGCCAGTGTTTAAGCTGGATCCTTAAACTGTCTTCTCTTTTCTTGCTTTGGTAGCTAGCCCTAGGTTATCAGAGAGAATGCTCTGACAATTCCTGTCCGTCTCATTGATGTGGGGTTGAATATACCTTGAATAAGTGTCTCAGAAGAATGTCAGATCCCCAGTAGAAGGTTTCTTAATAGCCTTAGTTATGACAAGTCTCTGTAGGTTTTGCAGCCTCCACCCTCCCCCCCCACCCCATCCCCCAATCATTGCATTAGGGAGCAAATTTTACCCCACTCTAAGGAAATGGAGCTAATTCATGCAATTGCCCATCAATCTGCAGTCTGTTCTTCCTTTCAGATTTCCTCTCAGTGGAATGCCAAGTGCATAACTGCTTGGGGATTTGTTACTTGGTGGAAGCAAATGCAAAACTCTGCTGTTAGCCRAATGTTAGTTTTGTAGTTGAAACCTGTGTCAAGCTTAGTACTCTTTATTTGTTCACTTTTTTTTAAGAAAAAAATCTGTTTAAAAACGGGGATTGTTAGAGTTAACAACAAAGTCTTGTTTTCAAATATGATCTGGATGATCTATATTTTGAATTTTCCTTCTCTCTTGAAATCACTTGGCAATTTCCTTTTTTAAGATACTTTAATGATTTCAGAGTGGAGAAATTTTTGTGAATCCTATGGGAGTTAATACAGTAAATAGTCTAAATGATGGCATAAGTCAAATAGAGATTAAGAGTTTGAAATTGGAGACTACCTAGGATGACTAATTTACACAAATACTGTACTTTGCAGAAATGTATTTCTGATACTTAATAAGATTGTGAGGAAAATTTTATGCATTTTATAACATGTATATTAGAGCAACTGACTTAGGAAATAATAGCCTTGAAAAACCTCAATTATAGTGAGATCGACCATAAAAGTTTCAGTACCTTTATTTTTATACAGTTGCYGACTGGCTTATAAAGCAGCAATGAAATAATTTCCATCTTATACTTTAACTCAGGTCTGAGAAAATACATACCTGGCAATCATATTCTTTCTGTCTTATCTTTTGTAGTTTGCACAAGTTCACAAAACCCAGTGATCTTATAAAACAAAGATATTTCTTCAGGTGATGTAATTGCATGCCTTAATGAGGTGACRTAATGATTAAGGCTTGTCAGTGTGAAGACTGACTATTAAATGGGAAAATAAGAAGTAAAAAAAATCTGACCCATTTTTCTATCCAGTTCATAAAGTTCCTGCTCATAAATACTGTGAGCAGTATTTATGCTTTCCTTTTCTGTGTCAACTGAAGCAGTAAAAGATTTGAAATATTAGTATTACATATAGTTTTTATCCATCATGTGGTAGAGCTATCCATTCTTCTGTGTTTTTTTTTTTAAACTGGTGTTTTACTTAACCTGTTGCTTTCTTTAGCTCCTGCTAATTGTAATTCATTTTGCAACTTGTTTGTGTGTTTTTTTTTTTTGTTTGTTGTTGTTAGTGGTTTCTTAAAAGTTTTTTTTTTTTGTTTGTTGTTGTTAGTGGTTTCTTAAAACCTACATCCTTGTGCTTTTCCCTTGTTTTTTGTCAGAATTGGAAGCTCGGAGCATAAGGCAGCCCTGCTGAGGGAATTGCAGTTAATGAACAAGAGGTTATAACCCTTGGCTTGGTGTGGGGACAGGAGAATCCTGTGACTTTTGGGGGACAAGAGAATGCTGAGAAAAGTGGCAGCCTTGGAAGTTAAGATGCACTCAGAAAGACTGGAAGGGTTTGGGTTGTAGTTAGCATGGATCTGTGACAGTGTTGAAGGAGAAATAAGGAAAGCTCAAGATTTCCAGTTTTTGTCTATACTGGTAGTTTTATATGAAAGCTATAGGATGAAGCGGAGCTCTCTGGTTTTTACCTGTCCCCACTTCCAGCACATTGCAGGGGGTGATGGCAATCGTCTTGATAAGGAACTGCTTCACCTTTTTTCACATTTTATAATTGGAGATCTTTTGAACCTGTAAGCTGGCAGGTGGTCTTTATGCTCAAAAGCAGTACTTTCGTGTTAACAATAACTTGAGAATCAACAGCATTAAACAGGTGCATCTGTGTTCTCACTCTAGCTAGTTAACCTTGTCTCCATTCTGTCCATCATCTTTATTTCTGACATTCCTCGGCATACACAGTCAGTGATATGTTCTTACTTAAAACATTGATGTGCATGTGTTCCATTAAGAATGTTTTTACTTGTCCTTTTGCCCAAACTGTCAAGGCTGCCCAAACTGACGACCAAATTGCTCAAGTAATATTAAATTACTCAACTGAAGTTGCTAGTGRATTTGAAAGTGCCATATGGCTGACCACGTCAGGCTGTTTTATCTTTCAGCAGGAATATGTTGCGAGTTCYTCAGTCAGTTACTGTCATCTTAATGATAGGACAGTGGTGTTGGCATGAAATGAAATGACAGTAGCCAGCTGAGCTAATGAAGAACACCATCTAAATAGCGCTGACCCTTTCATACCCTTCACAAACATACATGCACAGGCTACTTGATTACAGTGTGTAGTCATATTTGTCTTTACCAGTGAGATGTCGTGATAATGGAACTTTGCCTTCTGAGACTCTTGTCTTTTTAATGGCATRGAAGTTGATATGTTGAATTGGAATCTTTTCCTTTCTTGGACAGCTTTGTAGCAAGAAAGCAGAGACATCACAGGGTAGAAGTGTTAACTGTGAAGTATTGTTTCAGCCTTTTGGTTTTGTGATTTCAGTATTTTAGATAAGTGAAAAGGTGGAAATAAGCTGCTATGCGGCCAAAGAAATCAGCGATTTAAAATAGCTAAATTAGTTTAAAAGAGGGTTACATTGCACTTTCATTCAGCCTAAATCTTTATATTTCCCTTTGTTTAGAATACTGCTGCTGGATGTTAAGCAGTCTTTGCAGCAACTTGTCGTGGAAGAGAATAAGGGAAAATTTGATCTGTCACAAATGTTTGTTTAGAAAGTATTTGGTCACTGAAGCAGAAGAGCGTTGAGAAGTATAGTTCATATTTGGTGACTACAGGGACAATCACCATATAAAAATAAAAAAGAAGGCTTTATTCTTAAAGCTAGACAATTGCAGAGTCCAGACTTGTGTATCCAAGTAGTTTAAAYATTATATTTCATCAATAAGCAGATAAGAAAACCTTTATTAGATTTCTGGAATGTATTTTTTTTTCCTTTTTGCTTTTTTCTTAAAAAGGAAAAAAAAAGAGTTGTTGCTTTTGAATTCTGTTAGTTTCTAGGCATTTACAGGAAATTCTTCTCCATATACGAAGAGCTTAGTTAAGATGTACTGTTCTACTGTTCTTCCATTTTAAAACCCGTTTCAGTAACTACTCACACTGTGGTGAAAGGGTACCAAATACCTTCGAAATGATGGGTAAAGACCTCTGCAAAGAGGTACTGGATAGGTGGCACTCCTGCCATATAGAGAGTCAGAAGCAAGCAACTGTGTCTGCATAGACTCTACTTAATAAGTGTAGCCAAATCTGATATATTTAAAGCAAATTAAAATTATTATGTTTTATTTTAAACACACACTATGAAAACTCTGTTACCTTCCTCCTCCTCTTGAAACCATCTAGAGCACATAAACAGTCTCTAGTACTTTTCAACAACAGTCGACTGTCCAGCAGGCATCTATCTACAACTTAGGATTAACGTCACTGTAACTGTTCAAGAACACAGAGGAAGAAAAAAGGAGTGAAATAGGTATGCAAGCTTCCTCTCCCATGAAAAATGAAGCTGGATGTTCATCTACCTACAGATGTATATTTTTAACTGAGGCTACAATAYAGTTAACATTACACAAAAGTGACCATGATGTTGATTAGTATTTAAATACCAGACTATTTTAGACTACTTTTGCACTGTTTCATTAACCCAGTGGTTTTGGTATTTCATCTTACAAGTCTTGACAACATAATTCTCAGTGGAAATGTAGAGCCCTCCAAAATYCTGCAAATAATAATTTCCTGTGGAATATGGAGAAACCTTCTTCTCTTTGGTAGCTTATATGGATTTTGTAGGAGAATTCCTGGTCATTGCTAAGTCTGGGGACAACTGCTGATTGGAAAGCAGTACATCAAACTGAGTTCTCTGGTAACTGTTTCTAGCTCTAAAGCATGCTGCCTGTTTGTGTATGTAAGAGTATGTTTAAATTCATTAAAATGAACACCAACTTTGAACAGTCACTTGTTTTGAAGGACATTGTTTTATATCAGTTTCTTCATGTTTTTGAGAGGTGAGATTCATCTGTTTTCATGCATTTCTCAGATTGCCTGCAAGGCAGGATGATCTGTGAACCAGAATACAAAGCTGGAAGAACTGCAAGAAAAATGTGTTCAGGGATTTTGATACTGTGAGAAATTTGTTAACTCCTCTGCAGCTCCACTTCCTAAGCTGTGAAATGGAAGTACTGATGATTTAATTCTTTAGTAAGCGGAAGTAATTAAAWTTTGATTTCCTAGTGCTAATCTCTTAATCTAGGTACTTTTTAATATTCTAGGAACATTGTTTTCTGAGAACACTTGGGAGCTGCGTACTCAAATGCTTCTTGAAGATAAGATCACTTGTGCAGCTGAACCTTTACCCTATTGATTAACCCTCTGTATTTCTGTGAAGAGTTAAATGTCCATTATGTTACTGATGATTTTTCCCTCCTCCTTTGAGGGGGGAAATGTACACAGTTATTTCAGCAGTGAAATCTATCTGAAGAAGTAAGATACTTGCAATCCGTTTTTCTTGATGGGATGGTTTCTTGTTCTTAATTTACTTGTGGATATGGGAGAAAGGTGCTGCTGTGAATAAATGTCCCATGAAATAGTTCAAAAACATCCAACTTAGCTATGTGGGGCCTCTTAGAATATTCACTCTTCAGGAGATCATCTGAGAAAACATTTTGTCATTCATCATCATTCATTCTTCAGGTCTTTCATTCTTTTCATTCTTTTAACACATTAAATGTGTTTTAAATGTGTTTTTAGATTTTATTTAAATTTAATTTAAATTTTCTTCCCCAAAAGTCTTGATTTCTCTGGAAAAATTGTTAGGGGTAGCAACTGTTGAAGGTAACAGCTCCATTGACTTTAATAWTATTAAAGTCACTCACTAAATTTTATTTTGTAAATGCAGATCRTACTAGGAAACCAAACAGGTGACCGAAAATTTGTTTTTTTAAGTGAGCTTGATTTATTTTCCTATGTATTCACAGGCTCTTAAAATAAGAGAGAGCTGCAATTGTCCATCTCTTTCTGGACCAGATCCTCGCCTCATTTTCAAACTTAACATGCAACATCTGCTGGAATCATCCAAAGATCAACAAAGCCCAAACTCTACAAAGCAAGATCTTACAAAACCCACACTGGATTTGCCTCACGCTCAAAAAGTGGAAGATAGACCAGTAACTTTTGCAGTTAAACCTACAAATTCTTGATAACATTCAATTTTTATGAAACTCATTGTCCTGATGGTCTTTCTTTTCAGGCAAATTTGTCTTTGAACCATAAAGAACATCTAGCCATTCATCTTCTATGTTTCTTTCTTGTGATCTCCCACTCAAAGCAATAAGAAGCTCTGCCCACACAAGAGGAGTATCTTGRAAGTTTCTTATTATTCATCAAGGGTTACTAAAAATAAGTCCTTTCTCAGGGGAAAGATAATCTCATACAATTCACTCATGCAGTCTAATTTTCAGCTTTATCAGGCTCACCTTGATCACGGGACAGATGAGCCAGAGCCTAAAGCTAAAGAGAGGAAAGCCATTTTCATCACTTAAGTTGTCTGGTTTATCTTACTATAATTTGGTTTAGATATATTCAAATTCATTTGAAAAAATAATGGTGAAAACGTATTGTCTATTCCACATATAGAATGCTTGAAAATATGAAGGAAAATGGCCAGTGTTCTGAATGCACCCCACTTAATGTGGATTTACTGCTGTTTTTTTCTTTTTTATCTCACTAAAGCATTTTAGAATATAGATTAATTAAAAATTCCATTTCTTTCATCTGTTCAGATTTTCATTTTTTTGTTAATTTGTTTTAAAGTTTACATATGGGGAGAAAAATCTTCATGTACGGTAAGAGAACATGCACAARGTTTAACAGTGTATGGTATTTTGAATGTTTTTATATATGTATACATWYATATATGGGRAGGGGCAGACCTTGTTATATTTCTTCAATTTAATCAGAATGCAGGATTTTAAAAGGCGAGGGGAGGCTGAGTTTTCAGTGCTGCCTGGGTGTCTGTATTTTTGAAAAACAGTTTGTAAAACCAGTAATGTTACTGACTTCTGTCAAAGAACCAGGATCTTCGGAGAAATGTTAGCAACTATCCAACTTGTCTCTGCTTGGAGGTAAGTCTATATATTTGTGGGGTTGACTGTGTTGATGGTCCTAGGCCTGATCATATAGGTCTAGATCGGCTTCGTATTGCTTGCAAGCTGTTTTAAAATCTCTCCTTGATGCTTCTGGCGAGAGGCAGAKGTCCAGCCTGGCCATTATTCATCCATCCACTTTTATTCTTAGTGACAGGGGTTTTTGTAACAGACGTTCAGTGATGTGTTAAAGCATTTGGACATTGTCACCTGAAGGTAAACAGAAAAATACACCATTTAGATTTCCCTGTGGACTTGATTCTGCAACCCCAAGACTGCAGTACTGCTGCCGCTGCCTCTTTCGCGGCGGTGTCAGAGCTTATTTTGTTATCTGGCCTTCCTGGCTGACACACGACTTGATGTTTGTGTCGGTTAAGGCTAGTGAGAGTGTAGAAGAGTGTTTGTAGCGTTCAAGATTGAGTGAAGCTGCACAAAATTYGTATTTCTACTATCTATTTTAAGTGGCTCAAGTATTAGAATGGAATATTGGAGATGCTAATTTTATGTTCAACAGAGAAGACTTGTTTTAATTTGCAGGAAAGTGCTCTCGTAGTCAGGATGTTCTAGTGACGTAAGAGACATGAGAGAAGTAATAGCTTATGTTAGACGAAAGAACTTATGTTTTTCCCCACTACTTTGATTTATTAAGTTTCGTCTCTTCTAATAAACATTATGCACATGTGTATGTCTGTGTATATGTATGTGTGTATATTTGTGTGTGTGTATATATCTATATATAAAGAGCAAGAGAAAATGCAGAAACAATATAATTTACAGTCTGTAATGGGATATTGAAAAATCTATTTTTTGCTTTGCATCTTGAATTATCTCTAGTACTTTGTCAAATGCTTTAGAGAAGTGTTCTCTTCTCTCAGCTTCTTTTGACTGTCCAACACAGAAAACATGCCATGTGCTCCTCTGCCTCTCGGTAGGCTGTTGTGCCTTCTGTTTACTAAATTCTTACTAAATAGCATACTTTGCATTTGCCTACATTGTTGAGGTATTTTTAAATACTTCATTGAACTCATTAAAATTAACAAACATATTTTTTTCCAGAGATTTAAGAAACCTCAGTAAAAGCTGCACTATTTTAATCAAATAAAATAAAGTCTATCCATATAAAATATTTTAAATTCATTCTGAATTATATCCCTTAGGAAAACATTGTAGTTGCAAGCTGCTAACAAACCACAGAAACTCTGCATTGCAGGGAAAGAGAGCTTAAAATCTAGTTGAAGGAATTCAGTACTTGAAAAATGCATAACATATGAAGAGGGAAACTAGTGGGGAAGGGGAATAAGGTAAGATGAATTGGTTAAAATGTTTCTACGTTTCTGCTGCCAGCACTGCATGCTGTGCTTCACAGCTTCTTATAGAAAGATAAAGTGTATAGTACAGGTTGCGCTAAATCTCTCCTATGCATTTACTGTACTGGGAGTGTAAGGAGATTTGACAAGCAGGGCAGGTGCATACAAGGCATTTCTGTAATAAAAATGGCTGCCTATAACTTTTGGCCTTTCATGTTTGCGTATTTTGTGTTTTTTGAAATAATGCTCTTTCTGAGGTATTTGATTTGAAATACATAAGTGCCAAGAAAGCAAAGTAAAGAGCTGTTAGAATGCTCTTTGTTTTTGAATTCTGTTTGTAGTCATTTAAAAAAAAAAAAAAACAAACTTTGCAGGCTTGCAAAAAAAAAAAAAATGCAGGCTTGATGCCTTTTCATGTATTATCTGAGCTGCTGCCGTTTTTTCTATGTGTAGTATTGGTATTTCAATATCTGAGGTTCAAACGTGTTTCCAGTATAATACTCTGTTGTAAGCTATTTTCCTGCCACTGAAATTCATTCTGCTAAAATTCCTTGTGCTTTTTTTTTTTTTTTTTTTTTTTAAAGCTTTTGGAGTTTTTGAAACGTAAATGGGATGACAAGGATGTGGTTGGTAATAGAGGTACTACGTAAAAGTTTTCTGTCAGCGAGACAGTGCGACTTCTTTAACAATCTCATCCAGAGTGCAGGGAAGGGGTGTAGCCACCTTCACTAAGGACTAGGAGCAATAACTTGTATTTATAGATAACTTGAAGCACCTCATAAATACTAGTTAATTTTTCCATGATACCTGCATGATACCTTTTGTTTGTTTGTTTTGGAAATGCTGAAGTGAAGACAGTGACTTTACCAAAGCTTCACAGAAGATCATTGGAAAAGCTGGGGCTAGAACGCTGAATCATAGCCTTGTTCACTGTATTACATTGTGTGAAATTTTTAGACAGAGCAACTCAGTTTCCTAATAGGAAATTAAAGTACTAGGCTTTAGAAAAATCTGTTATGCAGTGTGCTATTGTCTTGTACCTATCTACAGAGGTATCTGAAATGCCTTTTTAGTCATATTTAAGTAAGATACAGTTGGTTGTTTTTGCCTGAGCAGTTTCACGACTACTTTGTATCTTGTGCGTAACCTTAAGAGTTGTTTGTTTACTTCCATCATAAGCTTGGAACTGATTCTTAAATCTCTTGCTATGGTAGTAATTGTAGTGATTTAATCTAAAAAAGTAGAGACTTTCCAATTCAGGATTCCTCCCCAAGTAYAGGTTTGCTGTATAGTTACTCTCACATCAGCTGCAGGGTGACCTGCGTAAAAGTTCACGGCAATTATTCCCCTTCCATCTTTTTCTGGTGCTTTTGCAGATGCCTCTGCTAGAAGCAGCAAGAACTGCAGGATCAAAATTGGGATAAGCAGAGCATTTGCAGAGGTTAAATAAAAGAGACTGAGCTGCCTGTTCTGCCTATGGGAACTTTATTATTGGGGTTGGCAATTATTCGCAGATGACTAGAAGGTGAGAAGATGAGTTGATCCTCAAGCAACTGATGGAGACCTTCTAGTCTTCCCTTGCTGCCTAGACCCATTGCACTACACGTGTTCTCTGATCTCATGGAGAGCAGACACAGACCTCGTGTCATATTCCTGGCTGTGCTGGTTAAGGCTGCTCTTCTKGGTTCTTACCCTGATTTATGAATGGAGGCAGAGAATTGTTATCTCCAGCACATAAATTCCTTATAGCTATTAAATGGAGCTGATACTGAACCTGTTGACCTGGAAGTGAACGACTCCATAGCCTTTGATTAATCCTTTGAGATGTTTAATTTCTGGTAATTTGATATTTCAGACATGATCTTCCATACAGATATAATGGCTTAATTAGTATACATTACATGATATCTCTTCACACTACAGTGTGTACAGTATTTATCCACTAGAAAAGTAATTATAATAGTCAATTACAATACATTGACTAGAGCATAAATGTTGAAAAGAATATGTGCAACATGTATTATATGTTAAGCATAAGCATTTTTCAGTCAGTACTTTAGCATCTGCTGGTGTCTATCACCTTCTGAAAATGTGTTTCTAAATCTTTTGTCATAGCTTATTAAAACTTTTAAATTTGAAAAGAGATTCTGACAATGCTGGAGTAATTAACAAATCATAACCAACAAAGTGTTTGGGTAGGAAAAGTTGATAAAACCTAACGTGTAATGTAGTCACCTGTAAAATATTCTCAGTGAAGTTTYTTTTTATTGTCATAGATGAGCAATATAGATGTGAAAATATATGTTGGAAAAGTAAGTTTCTCTTTGGTATGGTCTCTCTCTGTATTTGAATTTGCTCGTACTGACTGGCAGTAATTTTTGGTGGGAGGCCCTCAAATCTGTGCTAAACACAAATGTATTTTGTGGTGCTCAGCTCACAAGCCCTTTAGCTGAAGCCACCTGCTTGGAGCCCTCAAGAGCTCTGCATGTCTGATCCAGCAGACCCAGGAGGAACCATGGAGAGCTGGTGAAGAGAGAGGCCCTGGTGCTTCTGCCCCATGGGAAAGCCCACGGACACACAGGTACTAAGAATCTGGTGTCACATCCTGAAAATAGCTCACTTAACTGGGGGAAGAAGTCAAAATTTTTGTGGGTGACATGTGCTTTGTGATCTGACTTGCCTACTTTTTCCTTAAGCTTCCATTGTTGACATGCATCTTTCCTTTGAAAGCTTGTATTTGCTATATCTGTGTTTGTATATATCTATATGTCTATTCTTTCTAAAGAAAGACAGACCATTTTTCAAGGTGAGCTCTCTAAAATTTATGAAAGTTTTTTTCTACTCCTGTTGATGAGACATTTTTTGCCAAGGCCACCTTAATTTCTTCCAGATTCTTATTGTTCCAACCTTTTGCTATATAATCTAATGTGGAACATTCACTAGGTGCCACAGAAGTAGGGTGAGCAAGGCGATGTTCCTGCACCTTCAAATCAATGTTAAAAAAGGGTGTAAAATGCATTTATTAGCAACAGAAGCTTCTGGAAATGCTGCACGGGCTGAAAACTTTGATAAACTTCTAGGAAGTTCCAAATCTTGTGAATTCCACTGCAGATGCTTCATAGCTTCAACTACCACTTGTGATCTGGTTACAAATGGTTTTTAAGGTGAACCCAAGGAACACATGAATCTACTGGAGAAGTGGTATTTTGTA